TAACTGATTATGTTATTCCCTTCTTGAGCCAAGTCTGATGACAGTAAGGTTCAAACAATACTCACCCCCCCTTTCCTTCTGTTGTAATAGGATTTTGTCTTTTCCTGTAACGTAATTCACCCTTGTATGACTCCTCCTTTCTCAGTACATTTTCTAAGATCAGACTAATCCACTTACTTGGATCCTTTAACCCACTTGATTAGATTTTTTTTTTATCATTATATCAGTCAACTAATATCCACCCCCTTTTTGTATACTCCTTTAACATGGTGTAATAACAATACAGTTCTCAAGAGTTGCAAGGGTCATCTTCCTTTGTAGGGATGTAAACAGTCCACCTTCATTAACAACATTTTGTATCTTTCTGTCCCATTTACCTTTTTATGTCTTTCTTGAATCTTGGACTTGAAGATCAGATTTTTTGTTGAGCTCTGGCCTTTTTCTCAGGAATACTTGGAAGTCCCCTATTTTGTTGAATATCCACCTTCTCCCTTGAAAAATCATACTCATTTTTTCAGGGTAGTTGATCCTTGGCTGCAATCCAAGCTCCTTTGCCTTACAGAATATCATGTTCCATGCCCTGCAGTCTTTTAATGTAGAAGCTGCAAGGTCCTGTGTAATCCTGACTGTGGTTCCATGATATTTAAATTGTTTCTTTCTGGCTGCTTGGAGTACCTTCTCTTTCATCTGGCAGTTTTGGAATTTTGCTATCATATTCCTTGGCATTGTCAATTTAGGATCTCTTTCAGGTGTTGAGCAGTGTATTCTTTCTATGGTTTTTTACCTTTTGGTTCTAGGATTCCAGGCAGTTTTCCTTTATGATTTCCTGAAAGATACTGCCCAGGCTCTTTTTTTCATCATGATTTTCAGGTAGTCCATTGATTTTTAAATTGTTTCTCTCTAGATTGATTTTCCAGGTGGGTTGTTTTACCAATGAGCTATTTTAAGTTTTCATCCATTTTTTCATTTTTCTGTTTCTGTTTGACTGATTCTTGCTCTCTCATAGAGTCATTAGTTTCCATTTATCCAATTTAGTTCTTAACAGAGTTTTCTTCTGTTAGTTTTTGTACTTCCTTCTCCAATTGGCCAATTGTATTTTTAAGAGTCTCTTTTCTTCAGTGTACTTTTTTTCCAGTTTGCCAATTGTGTTTTTTAGAGACTTGTTTTCTTCAGTGTATTTGTTTCCAATTGGCCAATTGTATTTTTTAAGGACTCTTCTACCTCTCTCATTTGACTTTTAAATTCCTTCTTGAGCTCTTCTAAGAAGGCTTTTTGGGCTTCCAACCAGTTCATATTCCCTTTTGATGTTGCAGATGCGGGTTTGTTGACAATGTTGTCCTCTTCAGAATTTCTGTCTTAATCTTCACTCTTCTCATAATATGACTCTATGGTATGTTTCTTTTTACTCATTGTGTTTCTTTATTCCCTGGCAGTTAAAGAGATTGAGCTTTCCTGCTGGGGAACAGAGGGCACTGATCCAAGCTTCTTGTGTTGGGAGCCTAGGTCTTGGTCACTGGCTTTGTGCGCTGGGGCCTCTTATCTTGGCAATTGAAGGCTGCAAGGTTTTGGCAGCCTACCTCATGTTGGGCTGGAATCAGCAAGGCTGGCACTTTCAGGCAATTCTAGGTTGTCTGCTTTTCTTTTCCTTTAGCTTTCTTCAGTTCCTTTTAGATGGGTGCTGCAGTGTGTTTATCTGCCTGGGGCCCCTTGCAATGTTGCCTCCCTTGTTTCTGCTAGTTCACTTTGTGGTAAAGTGCCGAGGCACCTGGTGGTTTTCCAAGCTGGTTTCCACCAGTTCCCCCACCCTCACTGAGGCACTCAGAGGTCCAGGTGTTGGCATTTGCCTGCTTTACCACCTGGGCTTCAGGATCTCTCCCTGGTTGACAGTTGGAGGCTGTAGGGTTCTGACAGCTTACCTGGTGTAGGGTTGAAATCAGCAAGGCTGGGACTTTAGGAAGACTCTAAGTTGCTTTCTTCAGCTCCTTTCAGATGAATGCTTCAGGGTGCTTGTCCACCTGGGGCCCTTAGTAGTGCTGCTTTCCTTATTTTTGCTGAGGCACTGGGAGACCCGTTTGTTGGGCTGCTGCACTGCTGTTCCCCGTCTTTCTTCTAGTTCAGCTGTTCCAGGGTTTTTTTTTCCTGGGGTGATTTTTTCTGGGTTTTCAGAGGTAGATAGGGGAGGGTGAGAGCGAAATACCTTTTTACTCCACCATCTTGGCTCCCAGAAGCGGAACAGTGGATTATTTAGAGGACTTCTTTACCTTCTTTTTCTAGGACCTCAGGGCAGTTTTCCTTGATGATTTCTTGGCAAGTGCTGTCCATGCTCTTTTTTCATCATGATCTTCAGTTAGACCAATAATTTTTAAATTGTCTCTCCTGGGTCTATTTTCCAGGTCAGTTGTTTTATGAATGAGATACTGTACATTTTCATCTATTTTTTCATGCTTTTCTGTTTCTGATTTCTATTTGACTGATTCTCATTCTCTCATAGAGTCATTAGCTTCCACATGCCCAATTGTAATTTTTAACAAATTGTTTTCTTCTATTAGATTTTGTACTTCCTTTTCCATTTGGTTCACTTTACTTTTTAAGGAGTTCTCCTCAGTGAGTTTTTGTGCCTCCTTTTCCATTTGGCCAATTGTATTTTTAATGACTTGTTTTCTAAAGTTAAATTTTGTCCTTCCTTTTCTAAGCTATTAATTCTCTCTTGCATACCTCTCATTTATTTTCCCAATTTTTCTTCTACCTCTCTTATTTGACTTTTAAAATTCATCTTGAGCTCTTCCAAGAAGACTTTTTGAGCTTGAGACCTGTTCATATTCCTTTTCAAGGTTGCGGATATTGACAATGTTGTCCTCTTCTAAATTTCTTCCTTGATCTTCCCTGTCCCCATAAGAATCTATGGTCATTTCTTGCTCATGGTGTTTGCTTATTTCCTGACTTTTAAAATAAATTGAGCTCTCCTACTGGAGAGCATGGGGCACTGATCCAAGCTTCTTGTGCTGGGAGCCTGAGGCCTGGCTTTGTGTGCTCAGTCCTCAGATGCTGGCAGTTGGAGGCTGTAGGGTTCTGGCAACTTACCCGGGTGTTGGGCTGGAATCAGCAACACTGGTACTCTAGAAGTAGAGGTGGGGAGTCTGGCCTCTGGAGGACACCTGCTCACCTAGGGCTTACACTCCTTTCTTTGGCTCCTGCTCACCCAGGCCTGCACAGAGATGCTTTGCTGCTGGAGGATGTCCCTCAGCCTGGAGCTTTACTTTTTGGAGTTATGCTTCCCAGAATTTTGCCAGCATACTGGGAGACTTTGCTGCCAGAGAGAGCCATGGCATGTGGTGGTTTTCTGAGCCAGTGTCCATAGGTTCCCATCAGTTACTTGATGGTCCTGGTGTTGGTTCTTGTCTGCTCCACCACCCTGGTATTTAGGATCTCCCCCAGTATTCTGAGGTGGGGCTTACAGCTAGCTTGCTGGGATGCCTCTCATTCTGTCCTGCTCACCCTCCCCCAGAGTGGGACGGTCCTTTCCTATTAATCCCCTACTCTTCCTGGGCTACAAGACTACTATGCCCTGTCTTTCTGCTAGTTCAGCTGTTGCAGGGTTTTTCCCAGGGTGGTATTTTCTGGGCTTTCAGATGTCAATAAGGGAGGGTGAGAGTGATTTACTTCTTACTCTACTATCTTGGTTCCTAGACGTGGAGCTCCACACACTTCTGGGGAAATGTCTGAGCTTCTATCTTCCTTCATCTTCTTCTTTCACAAGTCAGAATAAGGACCTGTAAACCTTCAATGCTCCCAAAATGACATGTTTCAGGGCAAGGTTTTCTCATTGCTCATTTAGTCTCAACTCTGAAAGTTCCTGACAATGTTCAACTTGGTTGGCTTTCCATGTTTGGGAGATTCAGTAGGTTCATATGGGTATGAGAAAGACATTACATAACTTAGAATGCACTATATTAATGTGAGCTTATATTATTTTTAATTCCCAATATTTCTTTGGCAGTCATACTAGTTAAATTTTAGTGTCTGAAAAATGTATGTATTTATCTGTTTGTTTAAAATTTATCCCTAAAACTAAAAATTATTAAATATATCAAACTAATTATCAAGGGCTAGACACAGTCCAAGTTTCTGTTCTCCATTTATTCCCATTTGGTAACATGGTAAATTAATGAGGCAAAGTTCTCTTTATTTTGGCCAAGTTTCTGAGAATTGTTGCTTGGTAATTGAAGAGCAAATCACATGGCTAAACACACTTACATACAGGGATATCCAGTTTTTATCAGCATGAGATTAACCATTGGAACTGCTGAAAAATTAGTCCTTGACCAGATTTTTTAAAAAAAGTTTATAACTATATTCTGATATAATCTATTTCCTTTATAATATGTTGTTCTTTGTTTTATGCACTTAAAAACATTTATTAAGATGGAATCCCATAGGCTTCATCAAACTGCAAAAGGTGTCTATAACACAAAAGTGGCTAAAATCCCCTATATTCTAGTATTAAGAAAAAGAATGGATTTTATCTTCTTAAAATATAACAAAACCTGCAAAAGCATTTGTTTTGTTGTAGATTATCTTCAGTTTTTTTCTATGTTGAATAGCTCAAAATACATAGAAGAATCTGAGTGAAACACCCTCCTGGAGAAAAAATACATGGTGACTATCTTAAATGATTAAACAGGCCTACAAATAATTCTCAGAGGTGAAATCAAGGCAAGCCAACAATCTTTTCACAGTGTTAAGGTTGGTGCAAACTTTAATACACTTAATGAGTTGTAATACTATCAATATAACTTTAATTATAATTAATGTAGTTTTAAATTTTTTTGAAAATATCAATGTCATCATTTTATATGTTTACAAGAAATGTAAAAGGAATATTGGTTTTCTGAAAGTTTGTGTTAACTTGGAAATTTACTTCTATTTATCCAGGACAATGGGCAGATAAGATAGTTAATCATCACTAGACTGATAAAAAAAACATTTTTTTTTAAATCCTGACTATTTAAAGACCATTTTTCCAATATCAACAAATTTAGGAATAAACATAATATTGCTGAAGTTGGATTCTAAGTCTAGGTAAGAACCTTCTGGATTTGTTAATTTAAATATTTTTTAACCCTTACAAAGTTGCACAAACGTTGTAAATGATCATAGGAAAATGTTACCATTTTTCTACAAGGAGTTTATTTTAAGATTTTTGTTCTATTTACTCAAAGTTTGTTTTACATGTTCCTGTGCTCTGGTGATCTATACTCACCTATGCCTTTTCACATTATTATATGCTATATGAAAAGGCATAGATGAGTAAGATCACATTATTCATACTTCAATGAGATCACAGATAGAAATTATATAAGGATTGAAACATGAAGTTATTATCATATAATATCAATAATTAATACAAGTATTTAGTTTATAATATAATTGATTGATGTTACAATGTTAATATAGTATCATACATTGGCACATCTGTGTGATTCTGAGCAAGTCAGTAAACCCAGTTTGACTTAACTTTCCTCATCTGTAAAATGATCTGGAGAAGGAAATGGAAAACTACTCCAGTATATTGGCCAAGAAAATTCCAAATGGGGTCACAAGAAGTTAGACACAACTGAACAGCAACAAATCATATATTAAAGTATATAGTTATAAATATGAACAGAAATGTTATATCTACATGTAATTGAATATATTTGAATTTATATGTGCATGTATTTTATGCACTGATACACATACATACATATCCAGTTACAAGTCATGATATATTTATATATGAAGTAACAGTTCTAAACCAAATACACTACCAGTATATATATGTAATGTATGTGTATGTATATGTATATGTGTGTGTGTGTGTGTGTGTGTGTGTGTGTGTGTGTGTATGTGTATGTGTACTCAGATCAGCACCAACTTTGCAAATTACAGTCCTAGAAAATTTCCTGGCACACTGAGAAGTTAAGTGACTGGCCCGTTGCCACAGAGCCAGTATATGACTGAGGCAAGATTCAAACCCAGGTATTTCTAACTCCAAAGGTTATGCTTTATATGTTGTTCATTGAACAAGATTTGATACCTCTGCTTTTTAAAAATCTAATTATACTTCAAGACATAAGAAAAATGGCATCTATACATAAGATTATAGATTTAGACCTTAAAGGGTCCATACACATTATCTAGTTCAATGTCACTTCATTTTAGAGGTGAGGAAACCAAGCCCAAAAAAGATTAAGCAACTTACATTTCATAAGGAAGTAAGTAACGGAGTGGGGATTCTTTCTTGTTTGTCACAATTTTTTTTTACATTTTTTAACATTCACTTCTTAAAATTTTGAATTCCAAATTCTTTCCCTTCCCTAAGTTCCTGCCCTATCTATTTGAGAAGCCAAGCAATATAATACCCATTGTACATGTGAAATTATACAAAATAATTCTGTATTAGCCACTTTGCAAAAAAGGGGGGGAACAAAATGAACATATATGTTTAAATCTGCATTCAGAGTTTATTACTTCTCTCTCTGGAGGTAGATATTTTTCATCACAGATCCTTTGGAATTGTTTTGGGATCACTGTCTTGATCAGAATAGCTAAGTCTTTCACAGTTGATCATCCTTACAGCATTGCTGTTACTATGTACCAGGCCTGCACAACCTGTCACTTGTGGGCATGCCAAAGGATTTCTTCTACATACAAAGGATGTTTTCCTCTACATTTTTCACAGACTGTCTGAAATCCTTTGTAGTGTTGCAAGCAGCCCAAGGGCCACACAGCTTCAGGTTGTGCAGGCCTGTTGTGTACAAAGTCTTTCTCATTCTGCTCACTTCACTTTGCATAAGTTCATATATGTCTTCCTAAGGTTTTTTTTTTCCTGAAACCATTCCCCTCATCATTTTTTACTGAACAAAAGTATCCCATCAAAATTATATACCACAACTTGTTCAGCCATTCCCCACTTGATGGAAAGCCCCTCAATTTCCAATTCTTTATCACCACAAAAAGAGTTCCTATAAATATTTTTTGTACATATAGGTTCTTTTCTCTTTTCTTTGTCTCTTTAGGATACAGAGCATGTAGTGGTATCTTGGGTCAAAGGGTATGTGCAGTTTTATAGCTTTAAGGAAATAGATCCAAATTATTCTCTAGAATATATGAAGTGGTTCACAACTCTACCCATACCACATTAGTTTCCCCTATTTTTCCACATCTCCTCCAGCATTTGTAATTTTGCTTTTATGTCATTTAACCAATCTGGTATATGTGAGATGGTAGTTCAGAGTTGTTTTGATTTGCATTTTTTAAATTATTAGTGGTTTAGAGAATTTTTTCATCTGAGTAGAGATAGCTTCAATTTCTTTTTCTGAAAATTGCGTGTTCATGTCCTTTAACCATTTATCAATTAGAGAATGGCTCTTATTCTTATAGATTTTACTCAGTTCCTTATATATTTGAGAAATTAGACCTTTATAAGAGAAACTTGGTGTAATTTTTCCCAGTGTCCTGCTTTCCTTTTAATTCCAATTGCATTGGTTTTCTTTGTGCAAAACCTTTTTTAATTTCATATAATCAAAATTTTTCATTTTAAATTTGTGATACTCTCTATCTCTTGTTTGATCATCAATGCTTCCTTTATATATAGATTTGACAGGCAAATTTTCCATGCTCACCTAATTTGCTAATGATATCTCCCTTTACATCTAAATCAGGTGCCCATTTTGACCTTATCTTGGTATACAGTGGGAAATATTGGTCTCTGCCTAGTTTCTGTGAGAAAAAGTGGGGACCTAGGCAGGTCATTTGATTTCAAATCCAGTTAGCTCTCCAATACACTATAATTCCCTTGGGCCAACACAGTGGATGGAGTGCTATGCCTGGAATTAGGAAGATTCCTGACTTCAAATCTGGACTTAGATACTTAATAGCTATGTGATCCTGGGCAAGTCACTTAACCTTGATTGCCTCAAAAAAAGTAAGAGATAGAAAAGTATATGTATGTGAATGTATGGGGATAATAATAATAATAATAATAATAATAATAATAATAATAATAATAATAATAATGTTTTGCATATCACCTGCTATGTGCAAGGCACTATGCTAAGTACTTCACAAATATTATATCATTTGATCCTCACAATTCTTAAGTCGTACGTATTATTATTCCTATTTTATACTTAAGGAAACTGAAACAAATAGTGTTTAAGTGACTTAACCCAAGGTCACATATCAGGCATAAGGATGGTAATCCACATTAAAAGAACATTAAATGAAAAAATGTTTTATACAATACAGTGAAAGTTTTATATTCTTGGCAAATCAAGGGCACCAAGATTAGCAAGGTTTGAGAGGCATTTATATAGCCTTGAATTTGGACCCATGATGTATAAGACTTTAATCCAGAACCTCCCTTTGAGGTATGTTCCTTTTTTAAATGTATTTATTTCATTAGTTTTAGTTTTCAACATTCTGTTTTACAAGATTTTGAGTTCCAAATTCCTCCCTCTTTCCCCTCACCCTTCCCAAGACAGCATGCAATCTGATATAGGCTAAACATGTGCAACCATATTATACACATTTCCAAATTAGTAATGTTGTGAAAGAAGGACCAGAACAACAGGAGAAGACCACAGGAAAGAAAAAAATAGAAAATGGTATTCTATGATTCAGATTCTTTAGTTCTTCCTCTGGATGTGGATAGCATTTTCTATCATGACTCTTTTGGAGTTGACTTAGATCATTGTACTGCTGAGAAAAGTTAAGTCTATCAAGGTTGGTGATCACACAATGTTACTATTACTGCGTACAATGTTTCCTGGTTCTGCTTAGTTTACTCTGTATCAGTTCATGCAGGTCTTTCCAGGTTTTTCTGAAATCTGCCTGTTCATCATTTCTTTTTTTTTAGTGGGATAAGGACTTTTTTATTTTTTATTTTATTTTATTTTATTTTAAAATTAATTTATTTTGATTTATCAGCAATCACTTCCATATGATTTTGAGTTTAAAATTTTTCTCCCCCTTCCTCCCCACCACCCTCCCCAAGACAGCACACAATCTGGTATAGGCTATACAAATACATTCCTATTAGACATATTTTCACATTAGTGATGTTGTAACTAAGAATTATAACCAATAGGAGGAACCACCAGAAAGAGGAAACAAAACTCAACAGAAGAAAAAAAATAGCAAATAGTATACTCCGATCTGCATTCAAACTCCATAGTTCTTTCTTTGGATGTGGATAGCATTTTCCATCACGATGTTCATCATTTCTTATGGAACAATAGTATTCCATTACCTTCATATGCCACAACTTGTTCAGCCATTTCCCATTTGATGGGCATCTCCTCAATTTCCAATTCTTTGCCACCACAGAAAGAGCTGCCATAAATATTTTTTGTACATATGGGTCCTTTTTCAATTTTTATGATCTTTTCAAGATATAGACCTGGTAGTGGTATTGCTGGATCAAAGGGTATGCACAGTTTTACAGCCCTTTGAGCATAGCTCCAAATTGCTCTCCAGAATGGTTGGATCAGTTCATAACTCCACGAACAATATACGTGTTGCAATTTTTTCACATCTGCTCTAACATTTATCATTTTCCTTTTTTGTCATGTTAGCCAGTCTGATAATTGTGGTGTGGTATGAGAAATGTTTTTAATATCCTTCTCCCTCTTTTCTGTTTATTCAAATCTTACCCAAATGTCAAAGATCAATTAAAATTCCACCTCCTCCATTAAGTCTACTTAAGCCTACACTGATAATCCTTTTCACTAAATTCCAGTATGATTTCAAGTCTTCATTACACAACCTAGCAAACAGTATTAAGCATTGTTATACTATCCTGTTGCTTCTTGTACATAAACATTTTCTTTCCATCTAATTTATAAATTACCCAAGGTCAGGAATGTTATCTTATAATTCCCTTGAGTCCATTGAGTCATAGAATTTTAAGAACTGGAAATCTCTTTTTTTCAATAATTATTAGGTACCTACTGTGTAAAAGGCATTATGTTTGGCACTGAGGATTAAAAAAAGACAGGCCCTGAGCCAAAGAGCATTTTATTTGGAAGTACCCTTAGACATAAATTATCATCATCATCATCATCATCATCATCATCACCAGCTTTTTAAAACTAGCTTTTTAGTAATGCCTGCACTGTGCCAGGTGCTGGGCTTAGTGTTTCACAAATATTACCTCATTTTAGATAATTTAGATAATTTAACTCTATCATTTTATAGATGTGGAAACTGAGAACCAAAAAAATCAAATGTCGTTGTATATGGCACAAGGTCAGAGAAATAATGACAAATTATAGAAAAAAACCCAAAGTCCTTTTACCAGTGTTCTTTCTCAGTATCCTACTGTTCACCAATTGGATCTGTGAAGATAATTCTGGATATTTGATTGATGTATAGATAACAACTACAGCAAAATATAGTGGGGTGGGGGGAACTCTGGGTTTCATTCCAACTTAACTAAGTGTCCTCTTTAAGCTACTTCATCTCTTTGAGTCTCAGTTCTTCATTTATAAAATGAAAGGGTTTAAGTAGGTAATCTCAAACATCCCACTCACTGCTAGCATTTGAAATTCCTATAATACATTACAGAGCAATGTTTTACAAGCTGGGTTTGGGGAACTGGGAAAGTCATGCTCATTTCACACATTAAAAAGAGAAAACAAATAAATCTGATCTTCTTCCCCAGGTAATAAATTCAAGACAAGAAAACAAAGCAGGACAAACAGATATCTCAGATTCCAAGAAAGGCTCAAGTCAATACTCAACCAAGCAAATAGCTATGGCATCATCAGTCAAGAAGAAAACTAAGTGCTGCGATGTCCTGAAGGTTCGTTGAGATATATTTTCTTAAATAATTAATTAAAATTTTGGGGGTAGCAAGGTAGCACAGTGGATAGAGTGCTGGTTCTGGAGTTTGGAATATTCATCTTCCTGAGTTCAAATCTTCCCTCAGACACTTACTAGCTTCTTGACCCTGAACAAGTCACTTAACCCTGTTTCCCTCAGTTCCTCGTATGTAAAATGAGCTAGAGAAGGAAATGGCAAATTACTCCAGTACCTTTGCCAAGAAAACCCCAAATAGGGTCTTGAGGAGTTAGATGTAACTGAAATAACTGAACAACAACAAATTAGAACTTTAATTGTTAGGGGGAAAGAAGTTTCTAATTTGAGAGGAATAATACTTTTCAGGAAAGGCAATGTTGCAGAATTGAATGAGAATTAATCTAAGAGTCAGAAAGCCCTGGATTCAAGTCCTACTTCTGACACATACTACCTGCATCAACCTGGAAAACTTTCCAACACTCTAAGTTGCAAAGAAGTTGTTGATCTACATGAGAAGAGGAAATTGCTCAATGGGAGCTTCTTATATTGATAAAATCATAGATCCTGCATACCTTGGTGGGAATTGTGACTCAGAATTATGGGTTGACTCTTACTGTATTGTGATTAATTCTTCTCTGGTCTTCTATTGAGTAAATGTTATAATTATTTAACTTTTGACTTCTACTGAGTACCTTGAGGAAAGGAGAAGAGAGGAGAGAGTTTGGTGTTAGTCCCATGCTCATGGTAAGCTCCCACATACAAACACTCTGGAAAAACCCTAAGACTTGTTGGTGTGAAAACAGATTAGAATGTGTCATTGCAGCAGGAAAGAAGGGAGGTCCATATGGCCCAGCATGGGCCATATCCATAGGCTGCGCTGCACTGCCCAGGTAGGTGAATAACTGAATCCATACTATGGGATAGAAAAGAGATGCATTATGATGGTGTTGTTATTATTTTGACCTAAGTGCTAAAGAATGTCTGTGTTTTGCTCCTTCACAAAGAATGATCTTTTCTTGATTGCAATCAGATAAGGAGCTGGATATTTGCTGGTAAAAGACTGGCCAGGTCCCTTATGGCCTTTATTGTTAGAACTTCACATACATAAAAAAACTCCTAACATTTCCCTATGCAAATAAGGACAGTAAAAGAATGTCATATGAAACCTTTAATTTCTATTACTTACAACTTGGCTTTTAAAAATATTTTGAATGTAGCATAAATTAACACTGCCCTAATTGTCCATGTCACTTTCTGAATTTCTTTTTTTTTTCTTTTTGGTGGTGCAGTTGGGGTTAAGCGACTTTCCCGGGGTCACACAGCTAGTAAGTGTAAAGTGTCTGAGGCCAGATTTGAGTTCAGGTCCTCCTGACTCCAAGGCTGAAGCCCTATCCACTGTGCCACCTAGCTGCCCCCTGAATTTCCTCTTCCCCTCTTATGTGTACTTCAAAATGATTCAGTAACACTCTTTTTTCTTTAAGTATCATAAATACTAACCCATGCCAAATATCCCCGAATAAATAAAAAGAAAAGCTTTCTCATCAGGACAGTTACACAAAACAAATTCATATATAAGTTCTGTCTGAAAACATTCATCTTATTCTGTACATAGATTCTATTACCTCTCTGCCAAGAGGTGGAAAGAATAATTGATCATTAATCTTCTGGAGTCCTTCTCAGTCGTTGGATTAATCATAGCTCTTAATTTTTTTGCCACTCTTTTCCTTTATGATGTTGTAGCTATTACATGTATTATTCTCCTAGTTCTTCTCACTTCATTCAGTGTCATACCAACTCCCACATTTTTTCTGAATATTTCATCATTTCTTATGACAACAATATCCCATTATATTCATGTACCATAATTTGATCAGCCCTTCCCCAATTCATAGGCACTTATTTTATTCACAGGTCTTTGCTACAATAGAGTAGCACTATAAATACTTTCATACTTGTGGGTAATTTCCCTTTTTCTTTATTCTCTTTTAAATTTATGTGTAGTAGTGGTATTACTGGGTCAAAGGGTGTGTGGATGGTTTAACTACTTTGGGGTATGGTTCAAAATAGTTTCTGAATGGTTGGACAAATTCACAGCTCCACTACCTATGCATTTTTCTACCTACCTGTTCTCCCACAAACCACCAAAAATTGCCATTTTCCTTTTTGATCATCTTTGCCAATCTGATGAACATGAAGTAGAATATTATAATTGTTTAGTATGCATTTCTCTTTATGTTAGAGTTTGGGAGCTTTTTCATATGGTTATTGATGACTTGCATTTCTTTTGCTATGAGCTGCCTATTCACATCCTTTGGTTCTTTATCTTTTGATGAATGACTTTTGTTTTTGTAAATCTGAATCAATTCCCTGTATATCTTGGATACATAGATTTTATTATAGAAACTTGTTATAAAGATTTATGACCTCTCAAAATTATTGTTTGATTTCTACTTAAGTGTATTCATTTTGTATGTACAAAAAACCCTGATTTTGTATTTTCAAAATTGTTCATTTTATCTTTTTTGGTCATGTCTCTATTCTTTGATCAAGAACATTTTTGCAAAATATAGTTCTAAAACTTATCTCCTTCCTTTGTCCACTAATTTATTTATAGTATGACCTTTTCCATCTAGGTCATCCATCCATATGCAGTGTGAGGTTAGCTGACATCTAACATGACAGACAGCCTTTTAAGTTTTCCCAGAAGGTTGTGTTGACTAATGAGTCCTTACTCCAATTCTTGGAGTCTTTGTGTTTATTAAATAGTGTGCTGCTATGTTTGATTGTTTCTGTGTCTTGTGATCCCGATAGATTCTCCTTATCAAATTTTCCATTTTTCACCACTAGCAAATCATTTTGATGATTACTACTTTTATTACATTTTTAAGACCTACTGCTGGGAGACCCCTATACTCTCCACATTTTAAAAAAGTATTCCTCATGATATTCTTGAACTTTTCTTTCTCTTAGATGAGTTTTGTTAATTTTTCTTGATCTATGAAGTAACCCTTTGGTGGGCTGATTGGTATAACACTCAATTTCCAAACCAATTTAGGTAGGATTGTCATTTTTATTATGTCAGCATAGTTCAGCCATCAGCAATCAATATCTCTCCAATTATTTATGTCTATCTTTTTAATCTGTAATGAAAGTTTGATAGTTGTATTTTTGTAAGTCTGGTGTATATCTTTGTATCGGGATCCAAGATACTATATATATTCTTAAAGCTATGTTTAGTAGAATATATGTTTCTACCTTTTCCCATTGTGTTTTAGTAATCATATGGAGAAAAGTTTATGATCTTTTTGGATTTGGTTGTATCCTGCAACTTTTTTGAAGTTATAGTTTTAATTAGTTTTAGTTGATTCTTTAATGCTAAGTAAAATATCAGGTTGTCTGGGGAAAGTAACAATTGCATGAATTCTATAGATTCTTCAGACATCATGGAAAAAATTAAGATACACTAGAGTTGTTTAACATAGAAATAAGACATTTAAAAAGAGATATTGGGAATGAAATTAGTTTGTTAATTAGAATTCTTAAAGCAGAATTTAAAAGACAAACAGCAGAATACAGAGCTTAGAAAAGAATAGAGATCCAGTTGAAGGACATAGGCCCTGAAAGGGAAAACAACAAATTTGGAATACAAATATCCAGAAGTGAAAGGAAATTTATCAGAAGATCATCAAAAAACAAAAACTTTAAATGGACAAAAAAACTCTACACAAGTTATAAGATCTAATCTTTGCAATCAGTCAGACAATAACATTTATTAAATACCTACTATCTGCCAGGCACTATGTTAAACTCTGAAAATACGAAGAATTTTTCAAGTCCTTGCTCTCACAGAGCTTATAATATGATTGAGGAGACAACATGCAAACAATAAAGTACAAACAAAATACACACAGCAATTGGAAATAACCCATAGAGGGAAAGCATTAACATTAAAAGGGAATCAGGCAAAGATTCATGTAGTTGATGGGATTTCAGCTGACCTCAAAGTTAGGATGTTTGGAGGTAACACTTTTTGCTTTTATTTTTAAATTTCGTAATCACTTAATTAGGCCTCTCTTTTTCTCTTTTTTTAAATTATGTGTTCAAGGACATAAATGTATCTGAAAGAGCCAATTTATCTGCAATCCATAAATGCTCAGTAAGATCATTTTAGATAACAGACTATTATTTTTCTTTAATTTAGCTTTCATTTATTCATTATGAGCTACATGTAGTCCCAGTTCATATTATTTGGTGTTTCAATCTCTCTTTCACTACTTCCTATATAAGGTAGGATTTCAGCTCAGAATTAAAGGAAGCCAAAGTAGCCAGGAAGAGATAAGGAGGGAAGGCATTCTAGGCTTTGTGGGAAAAGCAATGAGAATGCCAAGTGTTGGGAGATAGAATGAATTTATCAAGGAACAACAAGGTCAATATCATTAGATCACAGAGTACTTCAGGTAGTTAGGGGAGCAAGGTATAAGATCTAAGAAGACTGGAAAATTTGGATGGGAGAAGAGGTTATGAAAGGTCTCGAATGCCAAAGACTTTTATAATTGATCTTGGAGCTTATTAAGGGAGTGGTGACTTTGGCAACAGAATGGAGGATGAAGTAGAGAGGGGGAAAAGAGTTGAGGAATAATTCATTGTGGAGAAAAGCAATCATTTAAAAGTGCCATATTCACCCTTCCTGAAAAAAAAAAAAAGCTTTATGCCTTTTTCTATGGCCCCAATGAAATACTTCACTATTACTTTTTCTTTCATTGGACATTAGGGTTTAAAGTTGGAAGGTAACTTATAGGTTCAACTAGCCTAAGTCCTTATTTTACAAATGAGGAGAATGAGGTAAAAATAAGGAAAGTGACTTGTTCGAGGTCATGCTGTAAATATTAAGCAGCAGAATTGAAGTTTGAGCTCAGATTCTTTGAATCCAAATAATTTCACAAATAATTTTAAAAGTATGGTTCTTATTTTTTAATTTTTTATGTATTTAATTTTTAATTTATGGAATAAAACAAGTATTTCCATAACAGTATAATGCAAAGATGATTGCACATGAAACTGCAAATCTATTATGTACAACTTGATATTCATTTTATTTTTTATTCCTTTTAAATGTATAAAGTTATCATGTAAATTACTTTTTTTCCTTTTTCCCTTCCCCCACCTTAGAGATGGTTACCATTAGACACAAATTGTGTGTGTGTGTGTGTGTGTGTGTATGTGTGTGTGTGTGTGTATAAAATCATTCTATACATAACTCTATCACTTCTGTCTCTGGATATAGATAGCATCTTCCTTTGTACAACCTTTGTAGCTAATTTGAGTATTTATAATAGTCAAAATGACTTAGTCACTCAAAGTTGCTCTTAAAACAATCTTGCTCTTACTATATGGTTCTGCTTATTTTGCTCTTCATTATTTCATGCAAGTCTATCCACATTTTTATAAGATCATTGAGCTTATCATTTCTTATAGCGCATTACTATTCTATCGTATTCATATGGCACAACTTGTTTAGGCATTCTTCAATTAATGGGCATCCACAATTACCAGTTCTTTGATACCACAAAGAGAGCTGCCATGAATATATTAGAATATATAGGTTCTTTTTTCTTTTTCCATAATCATCTTTGAAAATAGATCTAGTAACAGTATTGCCAGGTCAAGAGGTATAAGCAAACTTTGGGCATAATTCCAGATTGCTCTCCAAAATGGTTGGATCAGTTTACAATTCCACTAACAATGCATTAGTGTCCCAATTTTTCCATATCTCCTCCAACATTCATTGCTCTCCCCTTCAATCATTTTAACTGATACGATAGGTGTAAAATGATGTCTCAAGGTTGTTTGAATTTGCATTTCTCTAATCAATAATGATTTAGAACATTTTTCTCATATGACTCTAAATTCTTTTGATTATTTTATCTAAAAACTGCCTGTTCATATCTTTTGACCATTTATCAATTGAGAAATACTCATATTCTTATAGATTTGACAAAATTCTTTATATACTTGAGATATGAAATCTTTATATGAGAAACTATTTATAATTTTTCCCCAGTTTTCTGCTTTCCTTCTGATCTTGATGAGGGTGGTCCTTGAGAATCTTTCCAATGTTAGTATTCTATATATGATCCCTCATTAGCATTTTTTTCTTTCTAGCTCACTTCTAGGTTGAATTCTATCTCTATTTGTAACTTATAATCTGTATGATCTTGCACTTCATTTCTCTGGGCCTTAGATTTTTCATTTTTAAAATGAGGAGGATGAACCAGTTGATTTCTAAAATCTCTTCCAGTTCTAAATCTCTGATCCTTGATTATATTACCCCTCTCATCAAGAAACCATAGACTTTCTCAAATAACCCAATATTTAGAGAGGCATTTCTCAAGCTCTTTTGCCCACTCCTCTGATGGGGATATATGATTGCATTTATAGCACACATGGCCTGTGGGCCACAGGCTGTAAAAGCAGTAGTACCTAACCTGAATAGCATTGAGACAGTTCCCTTAGCCTTGGCTTCTTATCAGTTGAAACTGTAACCTTCTGTAATTTCCCTAACAAACTCTTATTGAATACTGCCAGAGACAAGTACCTAGTTGCTTCTTGGCTTCTACTTATGTGTGTGATTGCAGCTTCCCTGCCCAGTTATGAGCTTCGGTTAATACATTGATCTTAAAAAGAAAATATTGCTTATTTTATCATTATTATAGGCTATTGCATCTAATTGCCTAAGAATTATTAAAAAATGATTTCAAAATGTCTTCATTTTTAAAAATTTAAATAAAAAGAGTAGGCATAAATCTAAAAAAAAAAGTCTTCACCTTGGTCTCTCTCTGCCTTGAAGTTGTGAAACTTGAGCCAACAGAGTCCTTTGCGAACATGCTGATGCTATGATTAATGTTATTATACTAAAGCCTTATACCAAGGTTGAAAATTATGAGAAAGGTAAAAATAACATTTATGAAAGCTGAAGAGTAAAGTTAATATATACTAACAGAGAAAATCTTGTGGCCTTTTATTTAACCATACTTTCCTTTCCATTCTGTCCCTTGACCAGATGTTCATGGTGGCTCTAACATTCAGCTTTACTTGCAAAGCACTATCAGGAGTTATCATGAAAAGTTCCATCACTCAGATAGAAAGAAGATTTGGTATAACAACATCTGAAGCTGGTTTCATTGACGGAAGCTTTGAAATAGGTAATTTTATGGGGCAGCTAGGTGGCACAATGGATAGAGCATCATCCCTGGTCAGGAGGACCTGACTTCAAATCCAGCCTCAGACCAAACACTTGACACACAACTAGCTGTGTGACCCTGTGCAAGTCACTTAACCCCAATTGCCAAAAAAAAGTAGGTAATTTTATTTCATTTAGTAGCTAGTCTTGGATCTTGAAAAGCAAAATAACTATTTCTAGTAGTTAATAAATTAATTGCTGTCTAGTTTCAAAGTCAATTCTTAACTCTCTCTTCTGCTGCTTCTTCTTCTTCTTCCTCTTCCATCAAATATGCAGACCCACATATTAATAGGAAATCTCTTTATTTCATACTAAAGCCAAAATATATTTCTCCTTTTTATTAATAGCACACTTCATAAATGAATTTTGAAAATTGACAACTGGCAGGCTTAGCCTTGATATAAAGATGGCTTTTCTAACAATTAGAACTGTCCATAATTGATTTGGGTTGCCTCAGAAGGTAATTTGTCTTCATTTCACTGGCAATTTACAAGCAGACTCAATGGTCTATGTAAAGTACATAGTAAAGGAATTACTTATCTAAGTATGGGTTGGACTAGTTCACCTCTGAGGTCTCTTCCACCTCTTAGATTCAGAGTCCAGTATAAAAATATTTTTCATCTTCCTCAGGATCAAAGGGCAACAGAGCACTCCGGTCTCTTATTGGCCAGACAATCTGATTAGCCACAATATCAAGGAGCAGAGAGTTACACTCTTTCTTGGACAGAGTGGCTAAAATCTATTTATTCACCTTCCTTAAAGCTTAATTCATTACTTAGATCATCTCTATGACTCACTTCACTTTAGCCAAATTCTCATTTTCTGTCTATACTCAGGTAAATTATATTTGACCCATAACCATAGAATAATATAGGTAGACTGCTCAGCAGACAGTGTGCTAGACCTGGAGTTGAGAAGACCTGAATTCAAATCCTACCTCAGACAATTACCAGTTGTATGATTCTGAGCAACTTCCATCTGTCTCCATTTCCTCTTCTTTAAAATAGGGATGGGTGGTGAAACCAAGATGGCAGAGTAAAAACAGTGATTTGCTTGAGCTCTCCCCCAAACTCCTTCAAATACCTACAAAAAATGGTTCTAAACAGATTCTAAAACAGCAGAACCCACAAAAAGACAGAGCTAAACAAATTTCCAGCCCAAGACAGCCTGCATGGTTAATCAGAAAGGTATATCACACCAGGCGGGGAGAGGAATGCAGTTCAGCATAGGCGTGCAGGCAAACCAGGCCTCAGTGAACCTGTAGCAGGCCTCAGAGGACTGAATCAAGAACAGCTGTGGTGGTTTCCAGATTTCTCAACCCACAAATACCAAAGACAGTTTAGAAGGACAATGGGAAAAGTCTGTGACTGTGATGAGAGAGAAAAGCACAGTCCCAGCCTCAGTCCCCAAGCATGGCCCCAGGGCAGTGGCTGCTTCCAGAGCTTCCAGGCCACAGACTGAGGGTGAATCCAGTAGCTGATAAGAGGGTGATTGTGCAGGATTCTCTTGCTTTGTCTGTGCCCGGATCTGGGTCACACTTCTGGATGGCAGTCTTGGGGGAAGGAGTGCTGGTGTGGTGGAGCTTGTAGTGGTGGTAAGGAGAAAATCCTTCTCACAGTTCCAAGGCAGAAAAGAGTGCTTGTGGTCTCTGATAGACCAGAGCACTGGCCAGGAAAGGAGTAAACACCTCGCCCCTTATCATACCACCTTAGAAGAACTGAAAATTTATAGGTCCCTAGAAGTATCTCTGAAAACAGCTGCACAAAACCCTGGAGCTTGGGACAGTATATTCTCCACACTGGAAGCATACCCCTGCCTTAACAAAGAGTTTATAACTCAAGTCGTTGGCTGACATCATGAGCAAGCAGCACAAAAAGAGTTAGACCATAGAATCTTTCTTTGGTGACAAAGAAGATCAAAACATACAATCAGAAGAAGACAACAAAGTCAAAGCTCCTACATCCAAAGCCTCCAATAAAAATATCAATCAGTCCCAGGCCATGGAAGAGCTTAAAAGGGATTTTGAGAAACAAGTAAGAGAAATAGAGGAAAAACTGGGAAGATAAATGAGAGTGATGCAAGAAAATCATGAAAAACAAGTCAACAGATTGCTAAAGGAGACCCAAAAAAACCTGAAGATAGCCTAACCCAAATGTCAAAGGAGGTCCAAAAAGCCAATAAGGAGAATGCCCTAAAAACCAAATTGGACAAATGGAAAAGGAAGTCCAAAAGTTTACTGAATGAAATACTTCCTTAAAAACCAGAATGGAGAAATTGGAAGCTAGTGACTTTATGAGAAATGAAGACACTGTAAAAACCAAACCAAAAGAATGAAAAAATAGAAAATGATGTGAAATATCTCATTGGAAAAACAACTGACCTGGAAAATAGATCCAGGAGAGAGAATTTCAAAATTATTGGACTATCTGAAAGCCATGATCACAGAAAGAGCCTAGACATCATCTTTCAAGAAATTATCAAGGAAAACTGCCCCGATATTTTAGAACCAGAGGGCAAAATAGAAATTAAAAGAATCCACCAATTGCCTCCTAAAAGAAATCCCCAAAGGAAAACTCCTAGGAATATTGTAGCCAAATTCCAGAGTTCCAAGGTCAAGGAGAAAATATTGCAAGCACCCAGAAAGAAAAAATTCAAGTATTGTGGAAACACAATCAGGATAACACAAGATTTAGCAGCTTCTATGTTAAGGGACCAGAGGGCATGGAATATGATATTCCAGAGGGGAAAGGAGATAGGATCACAACCAAGAATCACCTACCCAGCAAAACTGAGTATAATCCTTCAGGGAAAAACATGGACATTCAGTGAAATAGAAGACTTTCCAGCATTCTTGATGAAAAGACCAGAGCTGAATAGAAAATTTTACTTTCAAGTACAGGAATCCAGAAAGACATGAAAAGATAAACAGGAAAGAGAAATCTTAAGGGACTTATTAAAGTTGAATTGTTTACATTCCTACATGGAAAGATGATATTTTTAACTCATGAATTTTGCCAGTATTAGGGTAGTTGGAGGGGAAAATTATGTGTATGTAGATAGATAGATAGATAGATAGATGGATGGATGGATGGATGGATAGATAGATAGATAGATAGATAGATAGATAGATAGATAGATAGATAGATAGATAGATGGCACAGGGTGAGTTGAAGATGAAGGGATGGTATCTGGAGAATAAAATTAAGGGATGAGAGAGAAAGGGAGAGGTAGAATGAGGTAAATTATCTCATGTGAAACAGACAAGAAAAGACTTTTATAGGGGAGGGGAAATTGGGGAAGGTGAGAGGTAATGAGTGAATCTTATTCTCATCAGATTTGGCTTAAGGAGGGAATAACATATACACTCAATTGCGTATGGAAATCTATCTTACCCTACAGGAAAATGGGGGTGGGGGGAAGAGGACAAGAGAGCAGGGGGATGATAGAGGGAAGGGTAGATTGGGGGAGGGGGTAAGCAGAAGCAAACACTTCTGAGGAGGGACAGGGTCAAAAGAGAAAATAGAATAAATGGGGGATAGTATAGGATGAGGGGAAACATTCATAGTTTTTCACAACATGACTACTATGGAAGTGTTTTGCATGACTGCACATGTATAACCTGTATTGAGCTGCTTGACTTTTCAATGAGGATAAGTGGAGAGGAAGGAAGGGAAAAAATTTGGGACCTAAAGTTTTAAAAACACCTGTTAAAAAAATTGTTTTTACATGCAACTGGGAAATAAGAAATACAGGAAATGGAGTATAGAAATCTATCCTGCCCTACAGGAAAATAGAAGGGGAAGGGGATAAGAGAAGGGGGGGGAGAGATAGAAGGGAGGCCAGATTAGGGGAAGGAATATGCAGAATGCATGCTGTCTTGGGGTTGGGGAGGGATGAGATGGGGAGAAAATTTGGGACTCAAAATCACATGAAAGTGAATGTTGAAAACTAAAAATAAATAAATAAAATAAAATAAAATAAAATAAAATGGAGACAAAAATAGCCCCTATTTCCCAATTGTGGTTGTGAGGATAAAATAAGATAATATTTGCTAAAAGAAAATAAATAGAGGAAATAAAATATTTGTTGAACATTAAACCATGATAAAATGGTAGCTTTTATTACTACTAGCGATTAACCTAAATAAAAAATTCTCCAATTCTTCATAAGCAAATCACTGAAGCAGATTACATATGCCATGTATTTCAATGTTCTTTCTAAAACTTGTCGTATGAAAAAGAGTGACTACTGTCTCAGAGCTCTGAATTAGATGTAACTCAGCAGCTGCTTTCCTTAGAACTCTGAGGTAAACACAGGCATAGGCGTAGGCATAGAACTCTGAGATAAATCATAGGTCTGTTATGATAAATTTAATTCAGTAACTACTTTTCTCAGAAGTAGATTTAAGCCCCTGGCAAGTGAGCTGTCAAGGATCTCCTCTATATATACGTGTGTATACATATATATATATATATATATATTATATATATATATATATATATATGTATGTATGTGTGTGTACATATATGTGTGTGTGTACATATATACGTATATATATGTACATATATATGTGTGTATGTGTACATATATGTATATGTAGGTATATACTCACATATATACATATATGTATATATGCATATACATACACACACATTTATATATTCATTCTCTTTAACCTTTTATCGGCAGCTAGTGGCACAGTGGATAGAGTGATGGGCCTTTCATCAGAAAAACATGAATTCAAATCTGGCTTCAGACACTTGCTATCTGTATGGCCTTGATGAAATGGTCAAAAAAGGTGAAAAGAAAACCCTGGCAGTATAGATTCCTAGAAATGTATCTGGAAGTCACTTGAGATATCATCTAGTCCAATTCCTCCAGTTTACAGATGAAGATACTTAACAAGTTACATGACTTACTTGAAATCATAGAACTTCTTCTTTTCTGGAACAGAATTAGAATCTAGACCTCCTGATATACCACATGACTAAGTTTCAGGATTCAGGGAAGTTCTCAGCAGTGTCAAATATATGACAAAGTGAGGAAAAGAAGGGAAAAAACATTTGTATAGTACTTACTAAGTTCCAGAAACTGTGCTAAATGGTTTAAAAAAAAACAAATATTTTACTTGATCTTCATAACAACCCTTTGATATAGATGCTATTATTATTTGCATTTTACAGTTGAGGAATTCTTGTTTTTTCTGATGAAAGGCCCATCACTCTATCCACTGTGCCACTAGCTGCCAATTAAAGGTTAAAGAGAATAAATCTACTTTGTTTCTTCCACTTGCTTTCTAACTACAGGTTTTCCTTCTGCCTCTTACCTTCTCTGTGTCCATTGAATAGCTCACTCATTTCACATTCTGGCATTGTTTTTCACTTTCAATTACATCTTTCCTTCAGTTTTGGTGCTACTGATCCTATGTATTATAGTATGTATTATACCAGTATGTATTATACCATCATAATTTGGCCAGGTGAATTAGTCTACCCGCAGACTTTGGCTGTTTATTGACTTGGCATTCCTTGCTCAAATGCACCGAGTTGAACTATTTGGTCACCAAATAATATGTCATCTTCCTTCTCATCTTTTTCATGAACCTATCCTAATGTCCTTTCTTCCTTTCTCTTTAAATAAATCCTGTTATAACTTCAAGACTCAGTTTGAATGTTGCCATCTCCATGAATATTTCCATAATTATCCTTTCCCTTATTTAAACTCTGACTATGCAATTTTATTATTATACTTAAGACAACACAGTTAAACAATTGTTCTGTTTAATTTCTGTTAGTTTTGTCTCCTCAGGTAGATTCTAAGCTCCTTGAGGACAGAAATAATAGCTGCAGTATTTTATACTCATTTATATTCTTTCCAATGCCTACCAAAAACAAAGCCTTCACATAGCTAATGCTCAGGTCATACTTAGTGAATTGAATTATACTTAAATGCAATTATTCTACTTCTAGGCAATTTACTGGTGATTACACTGGTAAGTCATTTTGGAGCCAAATCACACATACCAAGATTAATTGGAATTGGGTGTTTCATTATGGGAATTGGAAGTTTTTTAACTGCTTTACCTCACTTTTTCATGGGACCGTAAGTATTAAACAATAATCATTTGCAAGTATGGCATTGAAATTCCCAATCTTTAGACATTAAAATAATTTCTTTTTCAGAAAGCTCACTAAGATTGTGAAAATATGGGGTAAACTTTCCATATATATTAGTATAAGTGACACAGCTGTTTTTACCTGCCAAGGTTAAGGAACAAAGAAAAAAGTTTGAGAAAAACCAGGAAAGTGAATAAAATATTTATAACTTTCCATCTGACATGTACTTCTTATATGTGTTCACAGGGTGCTATAATAACCAATATTTTTATCAGCTGGGTGAGGAGAGGAGGGAAAGCATCAGTTGAACAGATTAATTAACAATCAAATTTATATTTTGCATGTATTAGAGAGCATGACTAAGGGAAAAATAAAAAGCTGAAATTCTGGCTTAGCATATGGTTATTTTGTAACTCCAAAATAGGCATGGTCTATGTAAAAACCATCAAAGTCCTTAAATTTTCTTAACTGTTTAAAACAAATGAATCTAGGATCTCATTGGTTTAGGAAACACCCAATGAGGAAATTCCTTCCACCTGGTAATTGCTTTGAAATTTTTAATCTTCAAGACTAGCTAAGGGCAAATTGAAGTTCACTGACTTGTTCTGGATCACAGAACCAGTATGTATCAGTATATATCACAAATATTGATTGTCTGGACTCCAAAGTTAAACTTTTATCTGTTATCCAATAATACCTCTCATTTTTTTAAATATGAAAGTTGTGATGCAGCTGTTTTCTAGGGAGTAAGAAGTTCTTTTTCAGATGCCACAGTCTCTATTTTTCTTTTACTAAAAATGCCAGATTAGAATGATTTGATCTTGCCTTTATCTCAAACCTTTAACTTAGACTTCTCTACTGACTAGCGATATGGCTCATGAACGAACTAGCTCCTCCCTGTTAATGATATGATAATAAAAATGCTATCGGAACTCTAACAATAAGTTTCACAGATATATTAATCTCTGGATTACATCAATATACAATAAAAAAATATGGTAAACATTTATTAAGCCCCAACTATGTGCCAGGCACTGTGCTATATGCTGAGGCTACAAATAAGAAAAAGACAGGCAATCCATGTCCTCAGGTAGCTTACTATGTAATTAACAGAAGAAGAGAAAACACAAAAGGAAACTGAAAAGCTGGTGCTGGAGGTGCGCTGGAAGGTACCCAGCAAAGCAAAATTATAAGAATGATGGAAGAATCAAAACCAAGCAGAGCAGCCAGTGACAAAGGAATAGATAGCTATTATTTAGAGTCATTTACAAATGTGTCTAGGGGAACATTTTTTTTTGTTCTGCCCTACAATCAGAGAGGCAGAAGCAACTAAGGATATTGATGAGTTATGAGTGCTGAAGCAATTTCCATGATGATGTTTCCTGGTGATGAGTCTATCTGGTGATGTTTATTATCATAAGTGGTAAAAGAATCCTCCAAATTATCTTTGCAAATATTGTAGAACAAAAGAGCAGCATGTACTATAAAGAACACTAGGTCCATAGTCAAGAGTCCAGGATTCAAGTCTTGGACCTGCCTTTACCAGCCATGTAACTTTGGCCAAGACCCTATACCTCTCTCAGTTTCAGATCCTCATATTTAAAATTAAATGGTTAGATGGGGTAACTGGATAATCTACAAGATTCCTGCCATCTCTAATATTCTCTGCATGAAATAGACTGAAATGTTTGTACTGATGGTTTCATATTTTCTTCAGTGTAAGATTTTGGGAGTACTTTTAAATATAGTATTCTAAACTTCATTGAGTAATGTGCCATTAAAAAATCTCCCAGTTTGTGCACTTTTTCTTTTGTACTGAATTTCAGGTTATGCCACCCTCATGAACCCCAATGAGCAGGAAACCACAGTTTGAAAAATAAACTCCCACTGGCAAAACATATTCCCATAACAAAGGGAATTAGTTTTCTGTTTGTCAATCAATCCACCATGACCACTTATTCACAATTATGCCAGTTGCTGTTCTGGAACAGAAGATATGGAGGAGGGGGAAGAAAATGAGAGTCCCTGCCTTCGAGGAGCTTACATTCATTCCAGGGAAGAAACATGTACATATATAAGTAATGCGGAATAAATCCAAAATAATTACCAGGCATTTAGGAAGAAGGGAAACTAGAAGTTTTAGGGATCAGCAAAAGCATTGGATAAAAGGTTATGATTGAGCTACATATTGAACTAAGTGAAGGATTGTATAAGATGGACGTGAAAAGGGAGTGCATTCCAGGCATAGCTGGTAGCCCAGAGAGGAAGACTAAGACTGAGTGCTATGTATAAGGAGCAGAGTAGTTTATTTTGGTGAGAAGATGAGTAATACCAAGTTCTGAAAGACTTTAGAAGACAGATAGGGGAATTTATATTCTATCCTAGAAAAAAAAATAGGGAGCTCTTGGAGTTTATTGGGTAGCAGAATGACATGGTCAGATCTGCACTTAGGGAATATCAATTTGGCGTATATGTGGAGAATGGATTGGCATGGGGAGAGACTTGAGACAGGAAGATCAAATAGGAGACCATTACAATAGTCTAGAGGAGAGGCGATGAGGGCTTGAACTATGGTGGTACCTGGGTGAGTAGAAAGAAGTGGCTGGACAGAAGAGAAGTTGTCAAAACAGAAATTGCAAGATTTTACAACTGATTAGTTATAGCAATAGATAGCATTTATAAAGTACTTTGAGGCACATAATGCACTTTACCTATATTATCTCATTTGAGCTTCACAATAATACTGTGAGGTACTATTACATTTTATATTTTTATGGATGAGAAAGTTGAGGCTGAGAGACTAAGTAATGTGCCCAAGGCCAAATAACTATTAAGTATCTGAGGCAGGATTCAAACTCAGTTCTTCCTTAGCCCAAATACAGCACATTATCCACTATACCAGAATATATGGGGAGAAGAAATGGGAGAAATCAAAGAAAGCATAAAGTCATGAACCTGGCTGATTGAAAAAATGTCATGTCCTCAACAGAAATAGGAAGTTTAGAAGAGAGGAAAGTTTTGGGGAAAGCTAATGATTTCTGTTTAGGACATCTTGAATTTGAGATGTCTCTGGGACATTCAGTTTGAAACGTTCAATTTGCAGTTGGTGGTGGAGGATTAGAACTCAGGAAAAAGACTGGCCATATAGATCATTGAGTTGTGGACATGCAGATGACAATTACAGCTATCACAATTAGAAGCTATTACCTATGTGTAAGAGGGATGACCACCTCTCTCTACATGCTATTTTACTTGATAATTAATTGTCACCTTGTTCTTTAAACAAACCAAAAGGTTCTTTCTGGCAATTCCTCGCAAATTACTGAAATAGCTCTAAGCTCTGTTTATTTAATGTGGAAAAAATCTCTTTTCTTATAAGAATTTACTCATCTCTCCATATATAATAATTTTTCATTTTCTAGATTGAGATACACATAATAGTTATTAGCTATACAATTTATTCACAGCATAACAATAAAATAAATACATAAATTGTTATTTATAATGAAATAGGTGAGAGAATGTTAATAGCAAAAATATCTCTAACCATCAACTCTGGAAAGGAAGTCCCACTATTCAGCTCTCTAAAAATGTCTTCAGATACTTTCTCTTCAACAACTGGAAAACTCAGTTTCTCAGGAAGGATGTTGTCTTGGTCCTGTCTGTTAAATGCTGTCTTTCTCCAGCCTCAACAATTCAAATTGATGCAAGAATGAAAGCTAATTTGCCACTTTCTTTATATACCCAAATGCCAGGTAAATTGCAATTCTCCAAGATCCCATTCCTCTTATTCATATAGTAATGTTATCAATAGTGTCCATGGGAGAGACTTTTGAAATTGGGAATACAAACCCTAGGGAGCCTATGAAGTCATCAAAAGAAAGATTATAAAAAAAGAAGAGGGCCCAGACATAGAGATGATAAGCCAGCAAAGAAGACTGTGGAAGAGCTGTCAGACAGGAAGATTATCAGGAAAAAGTAATTTCATAAAAACTCAGAGATTGAGAGCACATCCAGGAGGAGTTGACTAACAGCAATGTCAAATGTAGATATGTGAAGAAGACCCAGAAAATACCATCAGCTTTATTAAGAGCTCATTGTTGACTTTGGAGAGAATGGTTTAATTTGAATAATGAGATCCAAATGCAGATTGCAAAGGATTTAGGAATAATTGGGAAGAAAGACAATGGAGGCTAAGATTGTAGATAGCTTCTTTTACAGTTTAGTGGAGTAAAGGAAGAAAGACCTAGGAGCAGACCTCAAAGGCATGGTAGAATCTGGTAGAGGAGTTTTTGTTTGGTTTTTCTCTCTTAGTCTGGGGTCAGGATTTCAAGGGCCATAGATAATTGATGTATCTATGAGGCTTATTGATAGCTCATACAAGAAATATACAAGATGTGTGAATACTGCCATATCACTACCATCCAAATTCCTCCTTTAGATTTTATTGGAGGAAGTGAATTCATGCACACACACACACACACACACACACACACACACACACACTCACAGAGCACATTATGCACACAAATGGTTGTTGAAAATTGGCTGAGATATATGTATATATGTGTCACATATATACATATACAGGTAGATGGATGAATGGATGGATAGATAGATACATATATACATACATACATACATACATACATGCATACATACATAGTAGATACATAGTAGACAGATAGATAGATAGATAGATAGATAGATAGATAGATAGATAGATATACCAGTTGATGAGAATTGGCTGCCAGTATCTCCCTCCCCACTCTCAAATTACCTTGTTTATATTTTGTATATTTTTTGTATACACTTATACGTGTACATGTTGCTTACCCTAATAAAAAGCAAAATCCTTGAGGACAGAAATTGTTTCATTGTTGACTCCGTGCTCCCAATACCTGACATGTAGTAGACATGATACATTTTTGTTGATTGAGTTAGATACTCATCAGTGACTCTTGTCTCTTTGAAAGTTCCCTCTCTTCATCTTTTAGGCAACAAGGAGCATATCTAATTTGCCTACGTAAAGTAAAGCAAATAAAATTTTGGACAGGGCATAAAACTATTTTCACTTTTCTTCCTATGGTTTTTTTGTCTTCTAGTTATTGTGAACTCCACCTGGGAAAACTGTGTTTCCCTCTCAATGTCTAAGTGATTAAGATTTACCTTTCTGATCAACTTAATATTTAAACAGCAACTAAAATATTCCTATAATAAGCTATGTGTGTCTATGTCCTTGGTCATATTTTCATATATATATAAGGTGAAGTGCAAACACACATGCACACACATACACACACACACACATAATATACAGAAAAGGAATTGTGTTTTTCACCTACTCCCCCATATTAAAAGACCTCTTTTACTCCTTAGTGTCTGATTCTACTATTATTATTCCTGAGGGGAATTCTTAATCCATTGTTACCCACCAAGTCTGCTGAGCAATGAAACAGAAAATCATTGGAGTAAAGTCTATTTGAAAGTGTGTTTTGTGGAGAAAGTAGGGCATTGCAAAGTTGGTTTATAGAATGTTGGCATACACAAATTATGAATAACTTATTTTGTCAGTCTTTTTTTAATATTCCAAATATATTATCATAGTTACAGGTATGACTCGATAATAAATGCTAACCCACTTGACAATTCGACAGTAACCTACACTCCTTGCTCAACTGATGTCAATTCAGCTGGCAACAACAGATCATCCTTATTATTAGAGTCAGGTAAGGACTGATGATTGTTGATGAAAAAATAAGTATTTAAGAAAATGTTTCCATGTCATACGTATCTCTCTTCCCTAAGGTAAATTATTTGAGTAGGAAAATACATCTAGTACTAATTGAACCAACAAAAATAAAGTCAAATGAAAGAGATATAAACAATCATATAAATATTCAAGGAGAAAATGATGCAAATGCATTAGCATATTATGCTAAAAACTCCAAAACTTTTATGTTCAAAGGTTGCAAAAGTGAGTCTCATTCATTCATGTGGATATATGTCTTCGTTGGAAACCTGTTACGTGGGATTGGGGAAAGTCCGATTGGACCCCTGGGACTCACATACATTGATAATTTTGCTAAAGAAGGACATTCTACTTTTTATATGGGTAATGTAATTTTGTGATCTTTGGCCCTGTTATATCCTTTAATTCTTTTCCTTTCTTCCAGGAACAAATCCTCAAACTAACCCCCATTGTGATGAGCTAACTCAGATCAGTGAGAGTAGAGCTTTCCTCTTACCCTTATCCCTAAAAACCAGAACATTTTTGTAGGAAGAGACTGTGAATATTTAAGGGATTTTGTGATCACATTAGATGAAGAAATATATTGGCAGTTAAATTTACAAGGACAAAGTAACAATTTTGGTCCTGTATGCAGATCCTATATGAAGTTCTATATTTAGAAAAAGTCTATTCTTTCAAAATTCTTCTTCACCTTCCTCCCTCATCCATATTGTTCATTTATCTGGTTTTAGCAATCTCAATCCTATATGGGCTAAATGTTAAATATAGTCCTAGGATTTGAAGTGATAGTAACTCAATTTCATAAAGTTTCTCAGTTTCATAAGATTTCTACAAGGTTTCTCAATGAACAAAGACTCATATCTTGAACTATAGCTTTGGGTATTAAAGCCACAAGAATTAGGTAGACTATCTTTTAAATTTGTCTCACTTTGCCTTTCTTTTCCTTCTTGCTCCTAGGTAAATGTTTCTTAGGCCTCTAGCCTAAAAATATCTCAAAATCAACTTCTCATCCCTTGTCCCAATAAAAACCTAAGAAAGTTATAGCCTTGCTCCTGATACTCTGGATGAAAAAGGAAATTAAAGACCTAAGCTGCATACTTCTTTGTACTAACTTTTGATAGTCATCTACCAGCATCTCCTGAAGTTGTTGATGTCAGAGTTGCAGGATTTTTTTCCCTTAGCTTGATTCTGATTGAAGCAAATCACATAGCTCATTTGTTAATAGGTGGCTGTGTTCACTGAAAACAAATTTCCTCTATTTGCCATTGTAGACTGGTCCCCACATACCTTACTTTCTAAAGGCCAAGTGGCATAAGACCATAAGATAAATCTAGTGACCCCATGATTGAAATGGCCCTTCATTTCCCCTCCTTTTCCATTTTCCTCTCTAATGTTCACATCCTTAACTATGCAGTAAATCATACCAGTGAATTTTCCCACCAATAATGGGAGTTTAGCATCACAGCACTAAAATGTGTAATAGTTATCAATGTTTTAAATCTGTTCATCTTTGACTCCCCCTTTCATCAATACATTCTTTTAGTGAATATATAATTGTTTTAAAGGAACAAAGAATCATTTTACAGATTGCCTGTAGATAATTATATAGTATTATATTCATAAAAATGATATGTTGAAGATATAATGAAACTATATTACTTGGAATGATTTAATTATTTTGTAATTTTTCAGGCATTTTGCATTCAATTTCAATGATTGGCCCAACAATAGGATATCTGTTGGGATCTTTATGTGCAAAACTGTATGTGGACTTTGGATCTGTAGACCTAAGTAAGTACAACCAGATGAAATCAATAATTCTAGAAGTTTATTCACTGGTCATCATTCTTTCAAGGAATTAATTATCTTAAACCACTTCACAGTATCTTAGTATTTTGATACAAGAAGATTTTTTTTCTAGTTTATAAGTAGGTAAACCATGGCAAATAGTAACAAGAAGAGATTTTCTGTTCTGTGTATACATACATAACAAAACCAGTTTCAAGTAAATTGTTCAAATAATCATTTGGTTTTCTTAAAATGTTTCCATAATTTGGAAAGTTTTTTTTTACCTTGAACTGACTAAACATTTGTCTGAATAAACGGTTCTTTTAGGGGGCAGATAGGTGGTGCAGTGGATAGAGCACTGGCCCTGGAGGACCTGAGTTCAAAGCCAGCTTCAAACACATAACACTTACTAGCTGTGTGACCTTGGGCAAGTCACTTAACCCCACTGCCTAGCCAAAAAAAAAAATGGTTCTTTTGGAAAGTAAAAATCATAATGAAATTATTTAATTTGTTGGTTGACAAAATGCCCAACATGTTTCATTTCAGTTTCAACTAGCTTGCACAATTTTACCATCTATTTCATTAAAACTGAAGGATTTTATACACATTAAGAAAATGAATAGGCTTAGATAATTTTCACACTTAGATCTTCCTGTGAAGTTTATGGCAGACTAATGAATGGAGTTAAATGAAAGGTACATATATTTTTCTTCTTTTAAAGTTAGTGTGGAGAATAGTCTCCATAAGTGAATCAAAGAAAATCAAAGCAGTCTTCTCCTTTGATGTTATATAGCCTGGATTATGTGGATTCCTGTTTCCTCAGGGCCTCTTTTTGAAACAGTTTCACATGGGATGGTCTCTAGAGCAATCCTATTCAGAACATGCAGTGATGACTCCTTAACAAGCAAGCCCTCAATCACAGGACTGACAGGCTGGGTCCACTGAGCAGAACATCCCTTTCAAAGGTCTAGGTTTTCCTTAAAGAGATACTGCCCTGGGATGCTTCTGTGAGACAAACCTAGAGATTAACTGCTTTGCATCCATGGTTTTAAAAAAGCAGTTAGCAAAATTTTGGGAGGAGAGGGCTTTATAGTATTTTATTTTTCCAATTACATGTAAAGAGAGTTTTCAACATTCATTTTTATAAAAATTTGAGTTTCAATTTTTTTTCTCCCTCCCTTCCTCCCAAAGCTTCAGGAAACATTTATCTGGGTTGTTGTGTTTGCCCTTCATTCTCAAAGAGGACTATGACATAACGGAGATGATAACACAACCTGCAACTGACTTTATTTTGAGTGCAGGAGGGCTGTGCAAGGTCACAAGCCTCACTTTCTCCTCTGCAGGCATCTGGGTCCAGTGGCCAGATATGCATCAGGATGACTAGAGATGGCCCAGGATGCAATGGGAGCTCATAGATTTATTTGGGAGGAAGAAGGGAAAGAAAAGCAAAGTGGGAAAGATTTAAAAGGTAGTCTCCTTAATTCTTATGGCTTTCATACACAAAGCTACCATTCAAGAAAGGAGTCTTTGTTGGTTGAGAAATCTTGTAAAAACCTTAAGAAACCAAAAATTCTTCTCCCTCCCCAAGATGGCAAGCAATCTGATATTGGTTATACATGTGCAATAATGTAAACATATTTCCACGTTAGTCGTGTTGTGAAAAAATAAACAGAACAGAAAGGAAAAGCCAGCAAAAAAGTGAAATAGTTCTTTCTTTGGATGTGGATAATATTTTCCATCATGAGTCTTTTGGAATTGTCTTAGATCATTGTATTGCTGAGAAGAGCAAAGTCAATCAAAGCTGATCATTGTACAATGTTGCTATTAGTGTATACAATGTTTTCTGGGTTCTGATCAGTTCACTCAGCATCAGTTCATGTAAAGTTTTCCAAATTCTGCCTGGTCATCATTTCTTACAGTACCATAGTATTCCATTATGTTTATGTATCACAACTCTTTCAGCCATTCCCCAATTGATGGGTGCCCCCTTAATATCCAATTATTTGTCACCACAAAAAGGGCTGCTATAAATAGTTTTGTAGATGTAGGTCCTTTTTCCATTTTTATGGTATCTTTGGGATACAGACCTGGTAGTGGTATTGCTGGATCAAGAGGTATGCACAGTTTGATTGTCCTTTGAGCATAGTTCCATTAGTTTGAGCATAGTTCCATAATTTTATTTAAATTTTTTCATCAATATTCATTAGGAAAATTGATCTATAATTTTCTTTCTCTGTTTTGGCTGTTCTTGGTTTAGGTATCAGCAACATATTTGTGTCATAAAAGGAACTTGGTAGAGCTCCTTTTTTGCCTGTTTTCCCAAATAGTTTGTATAGTATTGGAATTAATTGTTCTTTAAATGTTTGGAAGAATTCACTTGTAAATCCATCTGGTCCTGGAGATTTTTTCTTAGAAAGTTCATTGATGGCTTGTTCAACTTCTTTTTCTGAAATACAGCTATTTAAGTATCTTATTTCCTCTTCTGTTAATGTGGGTAATTTATATTTTTGGTAAATATTCATCCATTTCACTTAGATTGTCAGTTTTATTGGCATACAGTTGGGCAAAATAGCTCCTAATTATTGCTTTAATATCCTCTTCATTGGTGGTAAATTCACCCTTGCCTTTGATATATTCTTTGCTATTTGATGTTAGTAACACTAGTATTGATATTTGACACTAATAATTTGGTTTTCTTTCTTTTTTTAATCAAATTAACCAAAGGTTATCTTTTTTTTGGCTTTTTTCATAAAACCAACTCTTAGTTTTATTTGTTAGTTCAATAATTTGTTTTCTAAATCTCCCTTTTAATTTTCAGAATTTCTAATTTGGTATTTAGTTGGGGATTTTTATTTTGTTCTTTTTTCTACTTTTTTTAATTGCATGCCCAATTCAATGATCTGCTCTTTCTCTGTTTTATTCATGTAAGTATTTAGAGAGATAAAATTTCCCCTAAACACTGCTTTGGCTACATCCCATAAGGTTTGGTAAGTTCTCTCATTATTGTCATTCTCTTTGATGAAATTATTGATTCTTCATATGATTTGTTGTTTGATCCACCCATTCTTTAGCATTAAACTAATTGGCTTCTAATTAATTTTTACTCTATCTTTCTATGGGTTTTTATTTCACGTAATTTTATTGAATCATGATCTGAAGAAGATGCATTTAATATTTCTGCCTTTCTGCATTTGATTGTGAGGTTTCTATGCCCTAATACATGGTCAATTTTTGTGTAGGTATCATTTACCACTGAGAAAAATGTACATTCCTTTCTATTTCCATTCAATTTTCTCCAGAGGTCTGTCATAACTAACTGTTCTAAAATTCTTTTCACCTCCTTAACTTCTTTCTTATTTATTTGTGGTTAGATTTATCTACTTCTGAGAAGTGGAGGTTGAGGTCCCCCATTATTATAGTATTGTGGTCTATTTTTTCATGTAATTCACTTAACTTCTCTAAGAATTTAGATGCTATACTGTTTGGTGCATATGTGTTTAGTATTTTATATTACTTCATTGTCTATGGTACCTTTTAGCAAGAAGTAGTTTCCTTCCTTATATCTTTTAATTGGATACGTTTTTGTATTTACTTTGCCTGAGATCTAGATTGCTACCCCTGTTTTTTTTACTTCAGGTGAAGCGCAATATGTTCTACTTCAGCCTTTTACCTTTATGCTGTGTGCGTCTCTCTGTTTCAAATGTGTTTCTTATAAACAACATACTGTAGGATTTTCATCCTGTCCCTTCTCACCAGTGTTTTCCTTCTGAGCACCACTTCCCCCAATATGCTCTCTCTTCTATCATCTGCCCCCTCACTTTTCTTTTCCCTCTCCCCTTCTACTTCCCTGTAGGGTAAGATAGATTTCTCTGCCCAAATGCATATGTTATTCCGTCTTTGAACCAAATATAATGAGAATAATGTTCAAACAATGCTCAACCCCTCCCTTCTTTCTCTGTACTGTAATAGGTCATGCCCTCTTCACAGGACATAATTTACCCTATTCTGCCTCTCCCTTTCCAGGGCTGGCAGTTTGTCTACTGCACTGAGGCTGCAGGCCTCAAAGCTGGCCCACTGTGCCACTGGCCAGCTGAGCCAGAACTGCCAGACCTCAGTTGCTGATCTGTGCTGTGGCTAAGAACCTTCCACTGGCTTGTGCAGACAGTGCCTACACTGGGCTGCCTTCCCCTTTTATCCAAGTGAGACAGACCTTTCCTGAAGTCCTTCTAATTATCTTGGGCTGTAAATTGTTTCACTCTGTCTTTTCATGGACTCTGTCACTCCAGAATACTTTTAGAGGCTTGATTTAATGTTATTTCTGAGAGAAACTGGGGAGAGATCAGTCAACTTCCTGGCTTCTCTCTACCATCTTGGATCTACCTCCTAGATAGCAAATTTTAGACTAATATAAGTTTGCAGATAGATTCCTCTGTCTGCTGATCCCACAGTTCAGAAGGGTAAAAGTAAATACTTGATAATAGGTTGTTGATGAGTTTATCCAAAACATATTTACTTGCTATAACATTTTTCCTGTGGTATATATCAATGTACAAAAAAACCCAATTATTTCCAAAAAGAAACTGATCAAGTTATTTTACATATAGTTTAAAGCAACTTGTTCACTAGTGACTAATCTTGGGCAATCCAGATCATCTGACTTCTAGTTCCAAGTTAACTAAATTCATTGTGCATCCTTAAGCAACTACTGTGTGCAGAGCACTGTGCTAGATGATGGAGAAGATACAAAATTGAACTAAAATATTGTCACTGACCTCATAAAATTCATGGGCACTATGGTCTAGTTGTTATAGAAATCATTAATTGGTGGCTATTTCTCTGTGATAAGCTTCTATAAACTTAGTGAAACTGGTCCTTGGTAAGCAGAAAAATAGTCCTTCAATGGGCTCTAAATTGAAGAACTTTTGGCTTGGTAGAATTTTCCAGTGTTGGTATGGCTATTAAGAGTCCTGGGTCATCATGATGAATATTTAGAGCAGGATGAAACCTGAGTGTCTGTCATATTGTGATCCACTTTTCAAGTGTGATATGGGTGCAGTATTGATTACGCATTCCAGAACTAATTATTACTTTCATAATAAAAGCTTGATTCTTTCCAGATGACAATATTGGTCAAGCACACAATATGATTCTAATAAATATTTATGATGATACTTGTGCTTGGGAAATTTTGCTTCATTTCCTGTCTTTAGGGAAGGACATCTAACTGTGCGTTGGAAAATACACTTTCTACTCCCAAACCTATATGTGTGCATGTGTATGTATATGTATATGTAAATATGTATGTATGTATGTATGTATGTATGTATGTATGTATATTGTATGTGCGTGTGTGTATATAATCACCTTGGGAGAGTCAATCTCTAGACTCAGTTTGGTAACCTCTAGTGAGTTAAACTAGATAACCTCTAAAGTCTCTTCTGGCTCTGAAAGTCTTATGACTCCTCCCATACTATGGGGGGGAAGCATTTATCTACAAATAATTAATTTCTGGATAACTAATTTCAGCATTATTATTAGACCCCTGGAATAATCAAATCTTAAGGAAAGTATTCTTATCTTTAAGTAAGCAAATGGCTTTAAATACTTTGCGGAGAGGAGTTGGTATATCAGGATCCTACCACAAATTGAATATTGGGGGGTGCAACTGATCTGGACTCAGGAAACATGAATTCTACATCCAGTTCCAACACTTTGTGACCCAGAATCAAATGTTTCACCTCCATAAATTTTCTCACATATGTAATTTGGGGATCATAATATTTGTACTCCTAGCTTATGAGGATTGTTGTGAGAAAGGCACTTTCTAAATATCAAAGACATTGAAAGAGGGGTAAGGGAGTTTTCCATACCTGATATTAAATTGGTACAGGGAATCTTTGTGAGAAAATTCTAGTCAATTCAGATCAGAAACTGTTCTTCAATTTATAATCTGTGAAGGCTGCCAAAGGCACTGAGAAATTGTGACTTAGCTAGGGTCTTAGTCAATATACATCTGACTATTAGATCAGGCCTCAAATAAACTATGACATACTGCATTTCTAAAGTATATCAATGTATTATTATACATTTAATTCAAGATGTACTTACAGTAGGTCTTAAAGGTTCATTCTGTGCCATAAATTGATATTCATTCCCCACCACCACCCTACCCAGGCCTTTTAGGGATGAAGGGGTTAGCTTCCAATTAGCCTGAACCTCAAACACTTGAAGACAGGGTCTGGACCTAATTTCATCTTTGTATTCCGAAATTTGGCAAATTGTTATTATAGCACAGTTGCTTGCACATAGTAGGTTATCAATGTTTGTTGTTCTACATTGTATTGAAATTAATTTCATAAATAGAATTATTCACCTCTATTCCCAGAGGGTTTTGATCTATTTTGCTAGTTTTACTAGTATTAGTTATTTCTCATCAATTCCATTGCTTTTTGTGTTCCTCACTAACCTATTTTTAATATTTTATTTTCTTGTGTGAATAAGTTTTCTCATTGGATGAAGATAAATGGAATGATTTAAACTTCAATGAGAGCAAGTGGTAGCAAATCTTGAAATAATACATGTTCACATTGTAACTTTTTAATTGATTTTTTAAATATTTTTATCATATTCTATAACAATTAACCCAAATGATTCCCGTTGGGTTGGTGCTTGGTGGCTTGGCTTTCTTGTAGCAGGATCCCTTAATATTGCTTCTGGGATACCATTCTTTTACTTTCCTAAAAATCTGAAGAAAGCAAGAAAGCAAAGTACAGGTCCAACACCTTTGGATGCACCCAGTACCAAGGAAAATGGAGGCCAGAAGTTAAATTTTAAAGATTCTGAGCAAACAAAGCGTAATGGCTTGGCAGGTGAGTAGTTCACAAATGTAAATAACTCTTGTTGGTCTGTGCAAACTAAGTGTAACAAAGACTGTCCTCCTTTACACTTAATTTGAATATCAATAAAATTTCAATGTAGAAATCCAGTATCATAATGATTTCCAAAATTAGATCTTCTGGCTATGATGGTTTCTTTGAGGTGCCTATTGAAATTAATTTGAATGTGTGTGACAGGTGGAAATAGAGAGGGAAAATATATGTTTTCATTGAATAGCTTAGAGTAAGAAAAATTATTCTCATTGCATGTGTAACATACACACAAAAGACAGATCAAATGGTCTTAGAGCTGAAAGGAACTTTAAGGTGATATAGTACAGTCTTCATTTCATAAATGAGAAAACTGAGATCCAAAGGATTGAAAATGGTCTCTCTAAAGACACAAAGAATTAGTGGCTAAGCCAGGACAAGAATCCAAGTCTCATGATTCAAGTAAAACAAGCTAAAAGGAAAAATGGATCAAAGAACTGTTATATTGTAGGTTATAGATTTCCTTAAATGCTAGCAAAAGCTTTGCCCTGTTTCCCCTCCCCTGCTCTATTATGTTTCTTTTTTGTAAATTTGTTGAAGCCAAGGGAGATATAGTTTGTTTAAAATATGTAAAGATATATATGATGTTTAAAATATATAAAAATATACATACTATGTATATATATATTACATATATGTATATATGTATATATATATATATATATATATTCATTGGATCATAGGATTTAGAGTTGAAAGGGATTATAGATGTCACCTAGTCCCATCCCATAATTTTAGAGATTAGGAAACTGAGGATCCAAGGCAGGAAATGACTTGCACAAGATGACACATGGTAGAATTTGATTTAAATTCAGGTTCTCTGACTTCAAATACAGGGGAAATCATAAAACATTCCTAGGTACAGTTTTGTTTAATTCAACCTCTAATTTCTCTGACCATAGTCCATATATTAACATCTATGGACAAATTTAGGGGAATCCAGGTGGCAGAGTGGATAGATCACCAGCCTGGAGTCAGGAAGACTTATCTTCCTGAGTTTAAATCACTAGCCACCTGACCCTGGGAAAGTCATTTTACCCTGTTTGCTTCAGTTCCTGATCTGTAAAATAAGCTGGAGAAGGAAATGGCAAACCACCCCAGTATCTTTGCTGAGAAAACCCCAAATGGGGTCACAAAGGTAGGACATGACTAAAAAATTACTGAACAACAATATGGACAAATTTTGCTTAGTCCATATCATTATTCCTTTCTCTGTACATTTCCCAAACACCAATACCTTTTTTGAAAAAATCAGATACCATAGTCCTTGTACCTTGTTCCAGTTGTAATTATACAAAGGTATCCCCCCTGCTCCTGCTCTTTTCCTTCTTCTCCCCAACCCACCTGCTACACACAGAGACATACACATTAGACATCTATATTCTTTGCCAAGGATGCTGTACATCTGACTGTTTTAATATTAGCATAATAGTGGGTGATTGCATGGCATTGAACCATTGTATAATGGGTTTGATTGGGCTACAGTGTATTTTCAGTGATCAAGAAATAAAAAAAAAATCAAAGAAATGTATACCACCCAAATAGGGGGGACTAGTCATGTGGTGAGCACAAGGTATGAAAAGCCAACATGCTGTACTAGGATCCACAAAATGCAAAATGGCCTAAAGGAAAGCCAGGAGTGCATTGGCTGAACCCTCTGGAGCTAGAAAAGAACATGACCAGCTCACAGAATAAGAAAGCCTCTCACAATAGACACTATATTGGTGACAGGAATATCAACATAAATAAAATCATAGATCTATGGAAATATTGAACAAGTATTGCAGTAATAAGCAATACACTGCCACCATTCAGATGACTACCCTCTGAGAAATGACAGAAATATCCAATGAGGCAGCATCATATTGCAACAAGAGCAATGGAGTGAGTCAGAAGAGCTAGATTTTTAAAACTATTATGACACTGAGCAAATTATGTCACTTCTGGACCCCATCCTTGTCATCTATAAAATGAGATAGCATTGGTGATTTTCTAAATCTAGCATTGTATGATCAATTGTTTTTATCCAAAAGTCTAATACATACCCGCCAATATAACTATACATATTTTTTCTTCTAGGTTTTTTCTACTCTTTGAAATGTATCATTACTAACAAGGTGTACATTTTGTTCTTGATTTCAACATTGATGACTGTTAGTAGTTTTATTGGAAGCATTACCTATATTCCAAAATATTTAGAACTGGAGTATGGCATGTCCATGGCTAAATCTAACTTTCTTCTGGGTAAGTCTTACTATTTGACTTTTATTATATCACTTACAATGAACCATTGCTTATTGAGTAAAATTTAAACTTTTTTCCTTAGTATTCAAGATTATCCAAAATGTGTCACCACCCTATCTCTCTAACTTTACCTCATGTTACTCCTTTCCAAAAAGTTTATGTTCTAGATCAAATATATAATTCTTTTCCTAACATTTTTGTACTACCCTTTCTCTGTGTCTTTACTCTATCCCTTCCCTATACCTGTAATATCCTCCTTTCCCCATTTAAATGCATTAAATTCCAACTTGTTCTTTAAAGTCCAACTCAAATGCCACTTCCTTAGGAAGCTTTATCTCTTTGGTCAGTAATGACCTCCTAGCTCCAACCTCACATAGTATCTGTCTCATACTTCTATGATTCATTTACATGATATTGTACAGTATAGCTATCTATATTAATGCCTCATTCCCATAGTAGACTTTAAGCTGCATGAAGGCAGGGGCATCATTTTATCTAAATGTTGCATATTGCTTTCATATAGAAAGTACTTAATGAGTGTTTGTTCATTTAATGAACTACAAAATGAATCAAATTACTCCACAACCAACTCCCTTCACTCTTCCACATGTTTGTATCTACCATCTCTTTCCCTAGAGTCTACTGACATGCCTGAGATTCCTATATCTTTACAAATCCCTCACTAGACCCTACCATCCTCTGAAGTTGTTTGTCTTACAACTTTCTTCCCCTTTATAGATAAACTTCTAGGGGGGAAAAAACTGTCTACACTTGTTGACTCCATGTCCTCTCCTTTCACTTGCTTCTCAAACCTCTACAATATGGCTTCTGATCACATTACCCAGCTAAAACTCTCTCCAAATTTATCAGCCCTCTCCAAATTTATCAGCAATATTTTCATGACCAAATCTGGTAGCTTTTCCCCAATCCTCATCCTTCTCAACCTACCAGTAGCATGTAGCTCTATTTACCACCTTAAAATCCTAATGACACTGTTTGCTATCTCTCTCTGTCTCTCTCTCTTTCTCTGTCTCTCTGTCTCTGTCTCTTCCTCCTCCTCCCTCTCCCTTTCTTCTCTTTCTATGTTTCTTAACTAGTCCTCATGCTTCTTTGTTGGTTCATTATACATAAAATTCTCTCATTTATGGGGATGACCCAAGGCTCTTTTGGATCTTATTCTCTTCTCTCTATATATACTGGGTTTAATTATCTGGGTGTAGATGGCTCCCAGACCTATATATCAAGTTCTAGTCTCTCTCCCAAGCTTTAGTTGTAAATCTCCATCTTCCTATTGGTTATTCCAAACTGAGTATTACACAAAGACCTCAAATATAGTAAGAACAAAATGAAATGCATTATCTTTATCCCAAAACCACTTTTCCAGAAAATTATTTTTGTTAAGGCCACCATGATCTCAAGTATCCAGGCTCACAAGCTTAGCATTATTCTTGACTATTCACTCTTCTTCACTCTATATATCCAGTTAGTTATAAAACTTCTAATTTCTATCACTACAATATCTTTTGTATCTCTATTTATGTGAATAACACATTAGTTTAGGCTTTCATCTTGTCTGGCCTGAGTTATTTCAGGTACCTATTATTTGGTCTTACTGTAATAATATTGTAACAATATCTATCTCTCCACCCCAACCTACCTTTGAAACAGCTGCCAAAAGTGATTTTCCAAATAGGGCAGGGGAAAGATACAACACAAGAATTCATTAGGCTCTTACAGAATGGCAGGCACTGTAATAAAGGCTTTACAGATATTATTTCATTTGATTCTCACATCAACCCTATATGAGATAAGTACTACTATTATCTTTATTTCATAGTTGAAGAAACTGAGGCAAATATAAAGTAACTTGCCCAGGGTCACACAACTACTAAGTGTATGATACTAGATTTCAACTCAGATCTTCCCAACTCCAGGCACAGCACTCTGTCCACTGTTCCTTAGGAAGGTCTAACAAGGTCATCTCTCTATGCAATGAGTACTAAGTAGCTTCCTGTTGCCTCTAGGATCAAATGTAAACTACTCTGTATCTTCTCTTTTCGTCTTCATCGTACATGTGCTTTCCACAATCTATGGTTCAACCAAACTGGATGTCTCTCTTTTCCTGTGCACTGGCCATCCCCCAAGACTGCGATGCACTTCCTACTCACCTCCAGCTCAAGAAATCCTTTCTTTCCTTCAAAACTCAGCTCAAATGTCATCTATTACATAAATTCTTTCTTGATTGTCTCAGCAACAAGTACTCCTCCAAAAAAGAAAAATGCTTTTCTTTTTGTGCTTATATTTTGTATACACTTAAATTATTTATGTTGTCTTCTCTAATAGAATGTAAACTTTTAGGAGAGAAACTATGTCATTTTTATCTATGATTCCTTGGTACTCACTACATTCTTTTGCATATGATTTGACCCTAATAAATGTGTTTTGATTCATTATAGTCTTGAAGGCAATATAAAATATTTCACCTCAAAGAATGCATTCCTGAAAAGTTGCGAGGGAAATGCAATTTTTTTATATTGAACTAGCTAATTATTTTTATGATGAAATCTTTATAAAATCCTTTTGTAAAGTGCTAAGTTGTTTGCCATTCAAATCTTCACCTTCTAAATTATGTATTTTGAAATCAGGAAATTCTTATACTTAAAAAGGAAAAGTTTCTAAAAGTTGTATTCTTTATGACATACTACCTATGTTCACACACACATAGTATTAGAGAACAATTTAAGCATTTCTTTCAAGTATACTATTTGTTTCTTAAAACACAATGTGTTTCAATCTATCAACATTTTCATTACAAAATTCATTTTTAATGGTAGTTTCAGATACATTGAAAGAGTCTACTGTTCTCATGGTTGGAATGGCAATGAGTTATGATTGTTGTTGTTGCGCAATTGTGTCCAATTCTTCATGACCCCATCTTGGGATTTTCTTGGCAAAGATACTGAAAGTGATTTGCCATTTCCTTCTCCAGCTTACTTCATAGGTGAGAATTAAGGCGAACAGGGCTAAGTGACTTGCTCAGGGTTACACACCTAGTAAGTGTCTGAGGCTGGATTTGAATTCATGAAAATGAAACTTCCTGATTCCAAGCCCAGTGTTCTATATACTGTGCCACCTAGCTGCCCAGCAATGGGATACACAAATGGTAATATATTGGTGAGATTAATTAAAAAAAAAACACTAGGCCAATTCTGCACCTACTTCACTGTAGTAAAAAGAGAGCATTAAAACAAAGTTGTTGACCAAGTCACACAACCAACAAGCTAGAGGACCAGATGTTTTTTCTGATCCTCACAACCTCTTAAATGTCTTCAAAGCAGACATTATGTGTCAAAGATATAGCAACTTTAATGTCTCCATAGTCTAGGAAACGAAACCAAAATGACCATTAAAAAAAATGCTCAATGAACTCATGCTCACTCAGTACTCCCTCCTATGCTACCCACCAGATACCTTCAATAAGGCTGCACAAGGTGTCCAAATTCATCAGTCGACAACAAAACAAATCCACACTTTGGTCACCTTCCTCCACCACCACCACTACCTTTCCAAGGCCTTTGAAACCCTAACTCCAAATTGCAAGATTATGTTGATGTCTCAATAGCCAATATTTTGTGCTGCAAAAGATCTCTACAGGATAATGGAGGTGCAAAGGGAAAGGGACAAAACACATGCTTGGCCTTGAAAATAGAGCTCAACCCAACACCCCCTCCTTCTTCTCATAGAGATGAAAGATCTAAACTCCAGAATCATCCCAGCCTGGAATAACACAAGTATGACAGCACTGTGAATTTCTGGGCCAGAGAACTGAGGTCTGGATGCTGTGGAGGCAGGGTGTTAAGGGCAGGTGCTTTGTGGTACTCCATGAAGCCTAAAGTAGTTAGTTTCAGTTCTGTCCCCTGAACGTCATTTGGGACAAAGACCTAAGCTGGTGGACCCTGAATGCTAAGTGTGGGAGGAAATTGAGATGCTTAAGATCTAGTCCCATTGGAAACAACCATCAGAAGGGAAGGAGTAAAAAAAAAGACATGAGAAGGGGGCAATAACTAAAATTACCAAAGATCTCAGGAGGAAAAAAAAAGTCAAAGACCTTGAGAAAAAGCAGATAAAATAATAGAGAAAATATTAAGAGCAAAAGGCAACATGGCCTCCAAACCTAGTAAATGAGTTCATACATCCGTGAATAAATACTGCAAAACAAAGGAAAATGAATTAACACTGGATGGGACAGAGGACCCCATGGATTTTGAAAAGAACATGGAACAATAACATGCTGTTCCTATGTGGCTTAAAAGAGAAATGAGAATTGCCCAAGCAGAGTTTATGACCTGCACAGTAGAAATAATTGGCAAAATAGTAAAGCTCAAATCTATGATGGCAAGTTTCAGAGAGAGAGAGAGAGAAAACAACAATGACATATTGATAATATAAGTAGATGTGAAGGACAATCTAAAAAACAAAAGAAAAAAACAATAATATCAAAAGAAAACATGTTCTGCATTTCAGCAGAACATATTGATCTCAGAGAGAATGCATAGAGACAAACTAAGTGTAGAATGGGTCTCCCAGACAAACATGATAAGTCAGAAAACCTGAACAGTAAAATGCAAGAAATAATAGAGCAAAACTCCCCATAACTTCTAAACCCAGAAAACCCAATGGCTATCGAAAGAATTCATGGATTGCCTCAGGAAAAGAGAAGAAGAATAAATTGAAAAAAAAAAACTCTAAGACACATGGTGGTTAAACTAAACAATTCAATTCAGAAATAACAAATTCTGCAAGGTATAAGGAGAAAGACCTCCAAATACAATGGAAAATAAAATTAAGTAATGCAAGGCTATTTTGCATATTAAAAAGGCAAAAAGAATGAATACATCACTTATAGACCATAACACAATACAAATTATCATTGGTTCAGGAATCAGAAATCAAAAGACACAAACTCACATAGAGACAATGAAATCTAAATAATGAATGGCTCAAAGAACAAATCATATAAACAATTAATGTGAAAGAAAATAATGGTGATTAAACAATATACCAAAATTTCTGGGACGCAACTAAAATAAGTCAGAGGAAAAATCATAACCCCACAAACGTGCGTTAACAACAAAAAAAAAGATAGAATACTAATGAACCGAAAATGCATTTTAAAAATGGCAAAAGCCAGCAAATAAACAAATGTAAAATAAGCACACATGAAAAGATATTAAAAAAATTAAGGAAATTAGATAAAATGGAAACCCCCCAAAATCTATCGAAATGATCAAACTAAAAACTAGTCCTTTGAAAAGACTAATAAAATTGGTAAATATTTAGCCGATCTGATTTAAAAAAAGGTAGAAAATAAAATAATTCTAAATGATGGTCTGACCGTCCTCCCAACACCTAATTGATGTTCCCACCATTTCCTTTCTTTGAGTACCGTCTTCATCAATGTATTTGGCTTGCATGTTATATATGCCAGCAAAACAGAAGACTCAGCTCAAATGTCACCTGTTTCCTTTCCCTATCCCACCAGGTTCTAGAACCTTCTATTATAAAGTTACTTTTTACATACCTTTTAGGTACATGTATGTATGTATGTATGTATGTATGTATGTATGTATGTATGTGTATGTATAGATACATATGTTGTCTGTCTCATTAATTATGTAAGCTCTTTGATGACAAGGATTGCTTTTATGTTTTTTATTTGCATACCCCTGAGTAGCTAAAGGATGGTATATAGTAAATGCTTAATAGGTTTTGTTTTATCAATTGATTAATTCTAAACCATACAGTATAAAATAATTAGGGACCTTTATCTCATAGTTATTTGTTTATTTCAATAATAATGGTAGTGAGCTGCTGTTTCCTCCATACCCCACTCCTTTTCAGCTTCTTTTTATGAGTGGTCATACTCTAATAACATGTAAGATCCTTGAAGCCAGGGGCTTGTCTTTCTTTTTGTTTATATTTGCTTAGCCTGGTACATAGTAAATGCTTCATGCTTGTTGCCTAACTGACTTGTGTTAATTCAAGCAATTTAAGTCTTGCCTAAGGAAAAATATTGGAATAGGAGGTTTTATGTATAGATAGCATGAGGATAGGGAAAATGAAAAGAGGATGAAGAACTGGGTGGGACAACACAGGGCTTAGAGACTGCATCCTAGGCCATCTCCAGCTGTTCTGATCTATATCTGGTCACTGGACCAAGATGACTCTGAAGGAGAAAGTGAGGCTGGTGACTTTGCATAGCTCTCTCTCACTTAAATCCAATTCATTTGCATGTCATGTCATCAGCTCCCTGATGTCATGGTCCTCTTTGAGAACAAAGAAAAAACAACAACAGCAAAAACAACAAAAGAGAATGGCCCAGGAAAAGTTCAGTAGCAATACCAATATTGCTGCTCTTAGTGTAAACCTTTTACTGGAAGACACAAATAACCCCTTCCTGCCAATTAGAAAGGTATGCCCTATATTTATTATTATCAAATTTAATAGATGACTCCCTTACCTATATGAAAAAGTCAGTTAAGCTAAAGGCTCATATGTCTTTTTAGAGATTAAGCAAATGTAGTAGAAAATAGCTTGTATTGATCAACATGCATCAGAGAACTATGGTTGCATAATCTGAGTTTTTCTTCCCCCTTCTTTTCTTTCCAGGAACAACAACAATGCCTTTTGTTGCTATTTCACTTTTACTAGGAGGATATATTTCTAAAAAATTAAAATTGAGTGTGATGGGAATTGCCAAACTATTTTTTATTACCAACATTGGCAGCTCAACTTTCCTAGCATTTCTGTGGTTTTTAAATTGTGGAAAACAGCCAATAGCTGGCTTAACAGTAACCTACACGGGGTATGTAGCTATTACTAATCAACTATGTAAAAATATGTGTGTTTGGCACAAAAGACTATACAAGAACCATGGAGCAAACTTTCTATTTACTTAAAATATTTAAAATCAGGAGGAATTTCAGAAGGACCTATTCCTTAAACATTCAATTATAGAAATGGATGTGACTTTGACAACATTTCATTGTATTACTTTCCTTTATAGCACCCAATGTAGTCACATGAATAGCTGTCATCTTTTTAGAGACTTCAAAAGGAGATTCCATGGCCTGAGTATTAGTCCATTCCGATATTTAACAACTTCCATTATAAGGAAAAAATTCATCATATTGAACCAAACTCCCTAATTCTATGAGCTAGTTCAATTTCAAATATTATTTTTACTAGAAGATATAATAATAATACATGCCTAACATTTATATAGCACTTCAAACTTTACAAAGCATTTTATATGTTTTACCTCATTTAGTTCTCACAGCTCTGTGATCTGAGTGCTGTTATAATCCCCACTTCTCAGATGAGGAAACAGGCTGAGGGATTAAATGATTTGCATAGGGTCACACAGCTAACAAAGCTAAAACAGGATACAAAACTCAGGTTTTCCTGACTCCAAATGCCATATCAAAGTCTCTAGGAACTATCCCAAAAGTCTTAGTGAAGTTTTAAGCTTTAATAATTTAACTCTATGTGACTATCCTGCAAACATCTGAAATCTATTCTTGCCTTTTCAGCTTCCTTTTTTAAGCTAATTAATGCTTTGTGAAGGGATGTTACCCACTTTTGTCTCTACCTCAATTAGGGATCATATTTGCCTTGTCTCTCCAGCCTTTTTCTGATGCCCAGGAATGCCACACAGATTATGTGTGGGATCAGAATTGACTCACATACTTCCATACATGCTAGCTCTCTGACCCAGTAGAGTAGAATCTGGAATATATCATTTCTTTTGGCTATTCAGACAATGGGGGAAATTGTCTAATGAGAAATGAAGAATTAAATACTGGGTGGTGATTTTAGCAGCATCATGAAAGTGGAGCAGATCTTCAACGAAAAGCAGGGACTTCCTAAATTTGCATTTCCTGGGTACTTGGATAAGAAACAAAACAAAAAGGAAGGAATGATTTCATTACAACATTCACTATCTCAACTCCTAATGGAAATATTAGGTTAGGAGGTACTAAATCAACATTGACTTATTTTGTTATTATTTCAGGCCACCCTCATCTCCCAGGTGGGATAATTGGCTAGATACCATTGGTATAAATGTTCTTCTTGGCCATATGTCAGCTGTGAAAACTAGTGGTTTTTTCAAAGTTCTAAAAATGATTTCTGGGTTCCCTGGTCTTGATCCTATAGCTTGACTGCAGAAATAACCAAGTAATATCTCCAAAAATATTCCATTTTCCTTCAGCAACTCAGAAAAGGAACAGAAACATCACTATTTTCAGATATTAATTAATTGGGCATTGTATTGTAGTAGGTCCTATACCAAGAGAATCAACTCACACAGATCCCGAACATGCTGTTCAGGAGCATTTGGCCTCATCCGATCTTCCTTAGTTTTTCAAGATTGTTATGAGGTAGCAAGGTGGTACAGAGTGCTGGACCTGGAATCAAGAAGACCTGAGTTCAAATCTAGGAGCAGAAATTAATTCAATACATGATATGGGCAAGTCATTTAACTTCTGACTGCCTGTTTTCTCATCTATAAAACAGGAATTAATAATAGCATCTACCATTAGAGTTGTCATAGAATAAAATGATATAATATTTATGAAGCATTTTGCGAATCTTAAAATCTATAGAAATGCTAGCTATAATTCTGATGATAATAATATCTAATGGTGTTTCAGAGTATTTGCCTATATAATATGATGGCATCTATGCTGAATGCTACACGAATTTTATATACATCTCTATATGTATATATGTGTATGTGTGTGTATGTAGGTATACACACACACACACACACACACACACACACAAATTCATAGAATTTTTGAGCTAAGGATAAAGAAATTGAATCCCAAAGAAGGAAAATGAGTTGTCCAGGGTGACATAGGCAGTTAGCAGCAGAATTGAGACCTAGATCTAAGTGACTCCCTCACTTTCCTCGGAGAAAAAAGGCTTCCCTTCAACAATTCTTAACTCATTACGTTGTTTTTTCTCCTTAGATTTCATTTGTGGATTGTGTTAAATCAGTTTTTTTAAGATAGAAATAAAACCAAATTTTAAAATGTTGCCTTTTTTATTGTTTTATCAGTTTTGTTTTCTTCATCAGTTTAGAAGGTAACTCACTTATACGTCTCTTCTCTCTGACAAATGTCTGCATTTCGACTGCAGAAATGACCCAGGGACAACTGAAAACATCCCATTTTCTTTCTGCAACTCAGACTGTAATTGTGATGCCAATGTGTGGGATCCTGTCTGTGGAGATGATGGACTCACTTACATGTCCCCCTGTTTGGCTGGTTGTAAATATTCAGTAGGCCACGGAAAGGACTTGGTATGTATGGGGATTGTTCTCTCTTCTGTATCATAATCAACACAGATTTAGTTGGGTAATTGATATTCAAGATATTTAGTAAATTGCTCAGGCCCAAGAGAAGTATCATTGAGAATTACATTGTTTCTTGCTGAATACAGGGACATCTTTAGATAGTCCAAACTGAGGTCAGCCTTCCTAGACCTAAACTACTAATCCTCAGGCCATCCTACCATATGTTTCTCGATTTTGTCAGAAATATATCATGACATTTTACCTTCTTGATATAGAAGGCCAAAAAAATGGAATTAATATGTTGGCATAACTAAAGGGAAACAGTTATCCCAGAGAAGAAAGCTATTTGCTCTAAATAAGTTAATAATAATAGTAATAACAATAATGGTAGTTAAATTTTATGTACTTCAGATATGTTCCAGGACTGTGCTAAGCCCTATACAAATATTATTTTATTTGATTCTTATGACAGCCCTCAGAGATAGGTGCTAATATTATCCCCCTTTTACAGATGAGAAAATGTGGGCAAATGGAATTTTAGTGATTTGGCCAAAGTGGCACAGCTGCTAAGTGTCTTGAGATCATATTTGAACACAGGTCTTGCTGACTCCAAATCCCATGCCGTATCCACTCTGCCACCAGTTTCTACACAGAAGAATTCAATGGGAATAGAGAGGAGAATGTATTTATTTAAGTCATTATTTTCAAAATAAACAATCATTTGACTGCTATATTCACTTATTTACGGGTATTTTTAGAAACCCATTTATGTAGCCACAGAATATTAAAGGACAATCTTGAAACTTTCATTTAAGCTAGAGTTGAAGAACTTAATGTTTCTGTAATACCAATCAGGACCTACCATTCAAATGCAGCCACTCTCTCCTGACATAAATCTGTCCTTTCTCTGCATCAGCTACCCATGAACTACTGAGGGAGCACAATGAGATCCTCTCAGGGATACCAGTGTCTCTCAGTGTCTTGATCAGTTGTCTTTCTGGAGTCAGTTAACATATGTAGGCCCAGGACTATAAGGCTGAAAGTATAAAATGAGAGACAAAAAAAAAAAAAAACAGCCTCTACCCTAGGATCAATCACAGCTCAGCTGCACTGGTACCTGACCCCTAGGTTCTCTGACCTCCCAGATCCTGGATCTTACCTTTATGGAAATACAGTATTCTGCTTTGATTATTTCTTGACTCCATTTCTTCCTTACAACAGAAGCAATGTGGCAGAGAAAAAAACTTACACTTGGGAGTCAACAGACCTGGTACACAATTCCTGTCATGTTACTAGCTAACTTTATGACTCTGAACAAGTATCTCTACCTACAGGATCTCAGAAGGAGTGTCTACAAAATTAAGGGATTTGGATACATGGTCTCTAAAGTTCTTTCTAGTTCTTAAAATCCAAAATCCTATGAATCTAAGAAACTATTAGACTGTTGATGACTAGCCTGCTTCCTAGTCCCACTCACTACTGGGAAATTTAGTTCCATTGCCTTCCTGACCCCAGTGTGACTATCAACATTCAGTCAACAAACATTTATGAAGCACTTACTATGGGCCAGGTGTTATACTTGGTCCTAGAAATACAAGTACAAAAAGGTGAAACAATTCCTGTTCCCAAGATTGTATTCCGTTAGAGAAGAAAATATGTATGCCTTGCCTCTGGACTTCAAAAAAATGTGTCCTACAGGACTAAATTAATCCTTTAAGTCCCCTCCTTCAAACTCTTGCCCAAGTGCCCTGTCCTCAGTAGCTCCCTCTGCTGCCCACTATGTCCAGGGCTGGCCCTAAGCATGCTTTACTTCACTACTTGGTGCCAAGCCTGTGCCCTTCCCTCCCCTTTTTATTTCTCAAACCATAATCAAGCCATCTCTGTCAGAGCTCTGACACAGGGATATGTCAGTCTGTTCCTCTATGGTTCCACCCTAGCTCCCTTTACCTTCTCAGAACAAAATATCCCTCCTTTAACACCACCCCCTCATCTGTTCTGTAGCCCTCTCTTAGCATATAAACTCCTTGAGGTCAAAAAGTGTCTCCCGTTTCTTACTTTAACCCCAGTCCTAGAATTGTACTTGGCACATAGTAAGTACTCAACAATTTTTTTTACTCTTTTTTTCCTTCTATATAAGTATATACGAAATATATATACAACTTCATTTTGGGAAAGAGGAGAGGCATCAGAGATAGGGACATTAGTGTGTGAGACACACAAAATTATTTTTCTCCTTATTTATGCAATGTGTTACTTTTCCCCAACTGCAAGTAAAAGCAATTTTTAACATTTTTTTTTAAATTTTGAGTTCCAAATTTTCTCACTCTCTCCTGTCTTCATCTCCCTTCTCCTTAAGAAGCAATTTGTTATAGGTTATACATGTACAGTCATGTAAAACATTTCCATATTAAGTCATGTATACAAAACTATTTTTAAAAAACACTTTGTTGTTTGTATACACTCATAATGACATAAATTCACTATATATATATATATAATATATATATATATATATATATATATATACATGTCTATGAACATACATAAATACTTACCAAATCTTCATCCAGTCACAACTATTGAACAATGGATATAGAACCATGAGAAAGTAGTTCTACTTAATAATAGGAAAGGATGGAAGAGAAAGGCATGAGTAAATAAATGAGTTGTTAGTGAGGTTAGTGGGTTTTAGAGTTGCTGTCAGCAAAAGGAATACAGAATGTCAATTTAAAATGACCAGCTAATACTGCTTCCTTTGTGTTCTAGACATTTCACAGTGACCTGCCTTATTTTTTAAATATACTAAGTTAAAAAGTAGTAATTACTTCCCTTTTTTTTCACTGATAGATCAGACTAAAGTGAACATGAGAAGGATACTAGGGAACCAATTTACCTTTCACTTTAGGCACAGTTGTAGAGGAAAACAGCACTGAATTTAGAGTCAGAGGATCTGAGTTCAAATTCCATTTCTGCTACTAATTAATTCTGTGATCCTGATCAATTCACTTCCCTCTGTAGGTTTCAATTTCCTTATCTACAAAATAAAGATTTGTTTATTTTAGATTATCTCCAAACTCCAAAACTGTGATCAAATGAATTATTGTTATCTACCAAAGGATATTTTAGAATTCTCTAATATTAATTTAGTTGATGAATGCTTCATTCTTTAAATTCAAAGAAACATTTTTATGTTCTGTTTTGTGCTATGTAAATACATTCTATCATAACTCAAAATTTATTTTAGGTGTTCCGTAACTGTAGTTGTGTTGAAGCCAACAATTTCCAGTCTGGGAATTCCTCAGCTTATTTGGGCAAATGTCCAAAGACAGATGATTGTTCAAGAAATTTTATTTATTATATGATACTATCTTCTTTGTCTTCCTTTATCATCGGACTAGGAGGTACCTCTGCTATAGTTTTGATTTTTAAGTAAGTAATATGAAAATCATCATTGCATATGAATCCAAAAGTAATTATTTTATTATGAATCAAACAGATAAAAATGAAGCAATGACTTCATTTATTTTCATAATAATAAGGAAATGTTGCATTAATAGAATTAAATGATTCTTGAAAGCTATATACTTTTTTTACACACAGTTTTTATTTTGTTTTGGGTTTTTTATTAGTGATATTTGCATTAATGTTAACATTAGCTGGTAGAATTTATTGTTTTCTTACTTACATTTGACAGTTATATTATGATATGATATGCCTTTCAAGGTATGAAAATGACCAAAGCCTGAGAGATTTCTCAGAAATTTCAAGTTTTTACATTATGAACATAGCAAGAAGATAGTAATGAAGGTGCTGAAAATGCTGAGCACCAAGCAACATCACTAAGAATGAAATTTGAGATTCTCTTGGAAATCAGCTTATCCAGGAACTGGGCATTCGCACTCTGGAGAAGAGAGGATAGACAAGAGGATAAACATACTAACTTTTCTTCAAGTTGACTAGAAGTTACTGGGGCTCACAATAGAAATAGAAGTTTAGGAGTGGGGAAAGTGTTGAATTAGACATGCCTACAGTGATCCAGTAGGAGACAGAGAAAGCAACATCACAAAAACTCTATCCAGGAAGAGATGGGTATCAGCAGTATCATGTAGTACAAAAAGTTTTTTAAAATTTTTTAAATAACTATTGAGAAAATGCCATTAGATTTGCAAATTAGAATATCATTCATCTTTGATCTTTGTCAATTTGATCTGTGTAACTGATTTAGAGCATTTTACATAGCATAATTTGAATTTCTTCATTTAAAAATTGCTTATTTGTACCATCCTACAGCTTATCTATTAGATAATACTTCTCTTTTGTTTATCTATATCAATTTCCTGGAGTTCTTAGATGTCAGGCTTTTATCAGATAAAAAAAAAAGGTGGCAAAGATTTTTTTTCTCAATTAATTATTTCCTTTCTAAGTCTAACATATTAAATTTGTCCTATGGGGAAAAAATCAATTTTATGTAATGGAAATTTTCCTTTAATTTTCTAGCTCATTGCTCTGCCTTATTTAGTTAAGAACTCTTAACCTAGCCATAGTTATGAATGATGTCTCTTTCTCTTCTGTTTTAAAATTTGTATGATATAACATTTAATATTTAATTAATGTGCCCATTTTAGCTTGTGTTATATCAATCAATGAGCATTTATTGAATACCTATTGTGTCAGATATTTTGCTGAGCATTAGGGATACAGTAACAAAAAATGAAACAATTCATCTTCCCTAAAAGTTTATGATCTCTGAAGGGAGCAATATATATATAAGAGCAAAATACATACATACATGCATGCACGCATGCATATTTATGTTTCATATATAGAGAGATATACATATATATAGTAAACTAAATGAAGGGTAGTTAAATACAAGAAAATGGTGAGCAGGCACTACATTAGATATTGAGTATATCAAGAAAGTTTGTTTTTTTAAGACGATGGTACTTGAGTTGTATCTTAAAGGAAATGACAAATTTTGTGTGATGGAGGTGTGTTGAAATCCAAGAATTCCAAGAATGAAGGATGGCCAGTGAAAAGTCCCAGATATGAGATATGTAGAACTTTTGTGAGGAAGAGACAAAAGGTCAGTTTGTACTACACTAGAATGCAGGAATAGAAGAAACATAACCTAAAACTGGAAAGACAGGTTCAAGTCAGATAGAGAAGAAATATAAAAATGGAAGAGCTCATATTTTATCCTAGAGGAAATGGGGAGCCACTGAGGTTTATTGAATAGGGGAATGAGCTGGTCAGACTTTTCTTAAAGAAAATCACTTAAACAGCTATGAAAAGGGTGGGTTAAATAGGTAAAATAAGTAGACATTTATTTCAAAGAACCCAATTAAGAGGACATTTCCATGGTTCAGCTTGACAAGGACTTGAACTAAAGTTATGGTTGTGTGAAAAAAGGGATCAGATGTGAGAGATGTTATGTAGGTGGGTGTGGTAAGATAGGGTATATCAGATGAGAGAAAGTGAGAACTAGAGGTGAAAGATGTTGACATACATCTATTTTTTTTTCCTCTATTGCTTTCCAGCTCTCCCAGGCTGCTTTTGTACTTTTTGTTTGTTTTTTAGAATACATTCCTTATCCCACTTTACAGAATATTTTGAGATCTAATTTTCACTGCTAGGATTCTTTCATTTCTAATTTCCGTAAATATTGCCCTTAGGATTCTTAATTTTTTATTCCTCTAGATCAGCAGTGTCAAACTCAAAAAGAAACTTGGTTGGCAAAGTGACATCAAACCACAAATTAACATTAGTCATGTTATTTACTTTGTTAAACAGTTCCCAGTTAAATTTAAATCAGGTTCCTTTTGCTGTAATTATGGCAACAGGCCAAGAGTTTGGACCCCTGTGGTTTAGATGAATTTAGGTACCATTTTATATAATGTTATAATTGTTATATTCTTGGAGGTTTGATTTGACACCAGACTAAATTTGTAAAATAATAGGCAATTATTGTCATTTTAATTACATTGTCACACAACAGGAACAATAATTATTGCTCTAATTATTTATCTTCTTGCATTTTTTGAGAGTGTTCTGTAGTTGAACTCATATTAGTCCTATGATATAAATTGTAGTCAGTTGACTCCCAGATACTTTTTACGTTGCTTATTTCTCTCTCTCTGCTTTTTAGTAACATATTGAAAAACTGATGCTGTTTTACATATGTATTTTATATCATGTTATTTTACTTTTAAAGTTATTGTTTCAATAATTTTAGGGGAATCTCTAGCATCCTTTAAGCATAACAGTGTATCTATAAATGGCAATAATTTAGTTTTCCCCATTTATTTACTTAATTTCTTTATCTTATTTCAATAAATAACATTTCTAGAACAAAGGACATCTTGCTTTACCCCTTATATTATTGGAAAGACCTCATTTCTCCATTACAAATGCTAGCTTAGTTTAAGAAAGATAATGTTCACCACACTAAGGAAAGGCCCAATTATACCTTTGGGCTAAAAGATATTGTTTTTCCTTAATATCTTCTTAAAATCACATGATGCAGTCATGTGATCCTCATTGTTTCAATATCAATTTGTTCCATCATTTTTATAGTTTTCCTAAAATCGAACCAAACTGAAGTAGCAATCCAACCAGTACATATCATAATCTTCTTATATGTTCCTAGAATCGTAGATTTAGAGCTTACAGTGACCTTAGAGGCCATTAAGTTCAATACCTTCATTTTATACATGGGGAAATAGAAGCATAGAGAAATTAAGTGACTTTCTTTAAATCACACAATAAGTGTCTGAGGTAAATTTGAACCCAATTCTTCCTGATTTCACAGCCAGTACTGTCTTCACTATATCATGCTGCCCTCTTCAATATTTTTATTCACTGTCTTGTATGAATACAGTATTCTTTTCCTGTTTTATCTCATCTTTACCTCATAGAAGGAGTTTGTTAGGATGTTTTCATTCTCTGTGGTATATCTGCAAACAAATTATATAATATTGGAGTTAATAGGTCTTTTAATATTTAATAAAATCCACACATACATTCACTTCTACTTGAGTTTTAAAAATTATTAATTCTTAACACATGGAAGGTAGATAAATAGTAAATGCTGTTCATAGGATTCATCTATCTTTTGCAAAATGGCAATTAGAGAAATCATACATTATTTAACCAATGTCCCTTGTATATTATAAATTTAATACCAAGAGAAAGTTTGCCTCTTCAAAAGAAATGGCACCCTTTGTTTTATGATACATCCTCAGAAGGTATACAACTGAAGCATCACCTTTTACATGAAACCTCACATACTACCTTGTATTTAACTACTTTAATTTTTTTTCTATTTGTTATCTTTTTGAAAAAATATGAATATAAAATATAAGTAATTGTGGTCACCTCCATTGAAATATAAGGTCTTGGGAATTAGGAATTGTTTTATCCTTTTCATTTGTATCCCTCATGTGTAACACAGTCTTTAGCACATAATAGGCATTTATTGAAACCTTGTGGATTGTGGTTTTGTCAGTGCCTACAATATGTCAATGTGTCTCTTTTTAGTTGAACAACCAGGAAACTTATAGTAAATTTACTGCTCAAAAGAATTATCGGGGCAGCTAAGTGGTGCAGTAGATAGAGCACTGGCCCTTGAGTCAGGAGGAGTTAAATGCAAATCCAGCCTCAGACATTTGACACTTACTAGCTGTGTGACCCTAGGCAAGTCACTTAACCCCATTACCTAGCAAAAAAAGAAAAAGAAAAAGAAAGGTGGGGGGGGGAAGAAGTCTCTGATTCTTATTGCAAAATACTCCTTAAAATTTCCCCTTTCCAGGATTCTTGCTCTCCCTGAACTTGAATGCAAAATAAAATAAAATAAAAATGAAAGAATTATTTATAACTACTGGCTAAATTTCTCCCTCAAAGACCAAGCCTTAAACACAATTTGCTCTGCAACTTATAGATTGGACAACAATAGGTCCCTGCCCAAGCACCACTTAATGGTTATTTTGGGGCCCTTCTGCCTCAGAGTGAATATAAATCATAACGGTTTCTCTTTTGGCCAGCATCACTTAAGGTCTTCTCTTCACAGTTTGATTTTATTATCATTATCATTATTATTATTAAAGGGGCCATCCCTTCACTCACTTCTTAAGGAGGTCTATTCACTGAATGCCTGTTGCCTCACTCCAAGTGAGAACCTGAAAAGAAATTAGTTGAAAAAGGCCCAGGTCTCCCCTTGCATTCTGAGCTATCTCCAGTTGTCCTGCTAAATTTCTGGCCACTAGATCCAGATGGCTCTGGGGGGAAAAGTGAGGCTAGTGACCTTGCACAGCACTCCCTCACTCAAAACAAAATCAATTGCAAGTCAGGTTATCATCTCCCTGATGTCATAATCCTCTTCAAGAAAAAAGAACAAACACAACAACAACAACCATGTACCTAATAACATCTCCTTCTCTGATGTTTTTATTTGGTCTTATTCTATAGTAATTAGAATTGTCTTTTTCACTGAACTTTTCTAATAAAAACAGTTAAGTAAAATATGCCCATAAAATAACTTTATCAGACAATATATGCAGTATTCTGCTCACACAATCTTCCATCTTTACTAAGAGGAGGGAAATATTTCATCATTTGCCTTCCCTGAAGCAGATTGCAATCTTTCCCTATCTTAGTAGATATTTTCAAGAATTACTAAGACAAGACTAATTCATTTTTTATAACAATCACATCTATTTTTAGGTAATCCTATCTTTATATGATAGCACATCTCCTTGTCCATATTCAAAATCTTTACAGTTTGGTAATACTGCCAGTTTTATGTTGATATTGCTATATATTGATATAGCTCTCAATTTCTTTAAACGTTAGACATTCTTAAACTTTGTGAAATGCTTAAAGGCACATCTTACAAATGCTAATGAAATTACAGTATTTGAAAACATTACATGTTCAGAAGATTTGCCAGTATTAAAAGCATATGAAAAGTACTAAGAATGATGTTTGCTATATAATGTGACAATCTGGAGGTGTCTCAATGCTCTTTGCCTTTATTTCAGGTTTGTTGAGCCTGAACGGAAATCACTGGCAATGGGTTTTAATTCAGTGGTTATACGAACACTAGGTAAGAAGGGGTTTTTTTTGTTTGTTTTTATTTTTACTAAAAACTTGTTAGTTAATATATTTATGAAACTGAATGCAAGAAATATCCATTAAGTGATCGAAACTGTGTTAGGAATAAGAGGTAATAGGACTTAAAATGGCATACTGTCTGCCCTTAAGGAACATATAAATTAATATGGGGAGGGTGGTTCATGTACATAAATGTCATAAAAAATAGAATGGCGTGGGATGGAATGTAAAATGTTGCTTCAAAAGTGTTCTGGGAAAATCAAAGAGTTTGGGAAACTACTCTTTTTATCTGGGGAACTCAATGAGGGCTGTGTGAAAGAGATGGTATTTGGGCTTAGTCTTGAAGCATGATTTAATAGTTTTATGAAGAGAAATTTAATTTGCAAACATAGAGGATAACCTACTGAATACATGGAGGTTGGAGAAAGAAAATTAAGGAGAAGAGGTAGTGATCTAACTTAACTAAAACAAAAAAGTGCAAAGAGGGGCAGTGTAAATAAGGATGGAAAGTTGGCTTCAGGTCATATCATGAACTGCCTTAAAACTTAGACTTAAAACTGCATTTTCTCCTACAAAAAGCCTCTAAAGTTTTGGGGGTTTTTTGTGTTTTTTTTTAGTGTGGTATTAACATAGTCATATCTATGCAGTGGGAGGTTTAGTTTTAGCATTTATTTGAAGGATGTTCTAGGGAGAAGAGTCTGGAGGCAAGGAGACCAATTAGGAGATTATTATAATAATCCAGGCAATAGATGATAAAAGTGTGATGTGAGTGATGTGGAGGTCAAGTCAACAAGGCTCTCAGCTGATTGGAAGTCAGATTGATGGAAAGAGGAGAATGAAAGATAAAAAAAATTGTACCTGGATAACTCAGAGATGATTATAACATTATAACAGAAATAGTGAAATAGCGGTTTAAACAATTATAGAATGTCAGAGCTAACATGGACCAGAGGAATCATTTGGATGAGTCTCTATTTCTGAAAAATGAATATTTTAATATTCTTTTTTTACACTTCCCAATGACTTTTTCCTATCACTAACAACAACAACAATAACCTTGTAACAAAGAAGTACAGATAAATGAAAGCAATGCATTGACCATGTATGAAAATATATGGCTACTTCTGCATCCATGCTCCATTGCTTCTCTTCTGAGGGAGGAAAGGTGTGAAGTTGCAGATTTATTTAATCTTAGAATTTCTTAGTTTGAAGGGACCTCAGTGGCCACTAATCTAACCTATACTCAAAGAACTACCCTTATAACATTACACTTTTTGAAGTTTTCATCTACTTCAAGATATCCAGTGAAGGGGGGAACCATTATTGGTGGTCTATTTTAATTTAGTTTAGCTTGAATTGTTATCTAATTTTCCATTACATCAAGCCTCAATTACCATCTTTGCAATTTCTGCTCTTTACTCTCAATTCTGCCCTTTGCAGACAAAAAGAACAAGTCTAATCTCTTCCCAGAGTAATAGAATACTTCTCCCCTTTGACCTCAGACTAAATATCCCCAGGTTCTGAAATCATAATTGGTCATTGAATTGATCAGAATTCTAAGGTTTTTCTATGTTTCCTTTTTCCTTTATGTTATTTCAGTAATTGTATAAATTGTTCTGGTTCCGTTTACTTAGCAATGAATCATTACATGCAAGTCTGCCTAATGTTAATCTGAATTTATCATATTCTTAATTTCTTGCACCACAACTATCTTCCATTACATTAATGCACCACTATTTGTTTTACTATTCCCCAATCTTTCCCCAGTTGTTTGCTATTGCAAAAATTGCTACTAAAAATGTTTGTTTACAGTTTGCATCATTATCTCTCTATCAATTCACTGATTACATGAGGAGCAAATCTAGGAGATTAATTTAATTGCACAAGAACATACAGTTAAGATCATAAAGCATATTTTGGAAAGAAAATTTTTAGTTGAAACCCAGTGCTCTTTACATTATGTCAAGCATTTCAGAAAAAAATAATGAACATTTTATATTACTATTCTTTCCAATACCAGATAGTTTTGACTATAAAAAAAGGCATAAAAAAATAAAGCTAATAGAATGTGATATCTATTCTTAGTGATTCAAATAAATGAAATTTAAGGTAATAAAGTGATTGAACTAAAATAGATATGGGGAGAGATTATTTTTAGTTTTGTTAGTATTATAGAAAGAGAGACAGGACCTGTGATTTCTCTCTACCAATCAAGATTGTCCTACTCTACAATTTACAGCCTTGTAACATTATCTAGAGCACTAAGAGGTTAAATCATTTGCACAGGGTCACACAGCTATTATGCATCAAAATCAGGGCTTAAACAAAGGTCATCCTGCCTCCAAAACAGCTTCATATTCATTATATTATTACTGCTTCTTTTTGTTAACATTAATTTGATGAAAATTAATGATCATGGGTTTATTAGTCTGAAAAAGTCAGTTTTTTAATTTAAGAAAAATCCCACTTACATAATTTCTTACATATTAATAGCATCCTACAGAAACTTGTCTTCCATACCTGAGAAAGTGGAAGATCTAACTTCTTTTCTGAAGTATCAGGAAATCTTTGTGTCTTTCACGAATGAATTATTGTTGTAGGCACTCTGTCGGTCAATAAGGATACAATGAAAAGAAATGAAAGTGTATGAGCTCAAGATATTTATATTGTATAAGAGGCTATATCTATCCATCTGTATTAGCTATCTGTCTGTCTATCTATATTATGCATAATAAACATGTGGGGGGTGTACTTGGTATCTATACAGTTTAGTTGTATAAGATTAAGAGGAGGAATGCTAGCTACTCTCTTTTCAATAAATACCACCCTTGGAGTATGAGAATCATAGGTCTTTTCTTGCCACTGTTTTATCCTTTTACCTAGTATGACTACAATATAGTCTCAACTTCCATTTCTACACAAGGATTTCTCTGGGCATGAGGCTACTTGATCTAATGGCCTAAACCTCTATCATGAAGCCAACTGCTGTTTTCAAACTTTTGTTTTCTTTAATCTAGGGGAAAAAAGAGAATGGATTCATTTCTTTTTCAACTTACTTTGGAAAGCTGATTAAAAAATACCAGCCAATAAGATTCTCAATAGCTCAAATCCCCTATTCAGACTCCTCTTGTTGTCATCTGAATACTTTGTCCTTCATTATCATTGCTTCTTTTTTTTTTTCATTGCCTCTTTTTTCAGTACCCTGTTCATAAAAAATGAAACATACAGATAATTAAATAGAAATTATAAATATAACTTACAAAACAGAGATAAGCTTTGGATAAGACCTTGCTCTTCTTAGGAGAAGCAGAAATGAAAGATGAAAAGGGGATTGGATGTATATCATCACCAGCATCATCCCAGGCAAACTAGATCAGCCACAGTCTTTGTTGGTTCTACCCTGAGTGATGTCAATATCCTTTAGAAGTCATTGATCACAATAGAAAAAGTGAGTGGTCTCTCCATCTCCATCATCCTTTGCTTAAATCACTCATCAGTGTCTTTCTCCATCTGTATATTCTCAATCTCTCTCTCTCTCTCTCTCTCTCTCTCTCTCTCTCTCTCTCTCTCTCTCTCTCCCTCCTTAATCCTCTCTTTGCTTCTTTCTTTCATTTCTTTTTTCATGAATACTGTTTTATGAAGGCATAATAACAGGGTAGTGGGCTATTTTTGATAGGGGAGCTAGCTAAGTATTATTTACATCACACATGCAATAAGTCTAGTTACACTTCCAGATACTTTCAATGTAAAATGAGTTGTTCTAGTTTTCTCATCCTTTTGATTCCATTTGGGAGTGAGAAGCAAGAAACCTGTTTGTTTTTTATTAAAATTTATCCATTTTGTATATAATCCAGTTGGTTCTATAATTTGTCATTTAATCAGAGGTTCTTAACCAGAGGTCTGTGAATTTTTTTTTAAATTTTGATAAATGTTTTTCAATATAATTAGTTTCCTTTATAATACTAGGTACTTTTTTCTGTTTTTAAAAATGTTATTCTAAAAAGAAATCCATAGGTTTCACTAGGCTGCTAAGGAAGTCTATGAAACAAAAAAGGCTTAATAACTCCTCCTTTAATTTGACATTTAGTTGATTGATATTACAGGAGGAATTTTAGCTCCTATTTATTATGGAGCAGCAATAGATGTAACATGCCTAAAATGGGACACCGATAATTGTGGGGATCAAGGAGCTTGTAGAATGTATGACCCTGCTTCATTCAGGTAAGTTGATATGCAATTTCATAAAATGATTTTTTCCATTGACTATTCTGATAGCAAAAGAATGAAATGACATTATCTTTTAATACTGAAAGCCATGTTCAATCAATAGATTCTCTTGAAGCCTTGATAAATGACCAGGTTGAGCCTAGCCTGCACCCTGTCCCAGAATCATAGATAAAAGGAGAAAGCATTTACAAAATGCTGTAAATAGAGCACTCCATTTTAACATTCATTCCTCAAAGCCACTGATCTGTAAAAAGCAAAGATTAATATCTTATTTTTTCTATGACTTAAAGAGATAATATCTTCCGATGGAAAAAATAGCATGTTAAGTACTTTCACATTAGATACATCATCTCATTTAAAAACCCTAGAAAGAGACTAGTAACAAAAGCATCTGAGTTTTGTTCTGAATTCTACCAACTATATGACCTTGAACAAGTTACTTAACCTCTCCATGTCTAGGTTTCCTCATCATTGAAAACGGATGTGTCTGCTCCACATAACTTAGGGCATTGCTAATGAATCAAATTAATTCAATAAATAATTTCTAACTATCTCATGTATGCAAGAAACTGTACTAAGTTCTGGGGATGTAAAGATGATAAACGACAAGTCCTTGCCCTTATAGTTGGTATAGACTAGGAAGAAGGTTGAGATGGCTAAACAAATCACTATAGCAAAGTAAGAAAGTGAAGTACACAAAAGTCAAATTAAGTGATAGGGAAGGAACAGTTAATCATAGCTGAGATGAACAGAAGGAAGTAGAGCTGGAGCTGAACCTTGGTAGAGGTGAATGATTTCAGTGAGCAGAGACTGGTGATCCAGGCATGGCAGGTGGTGAACTGAATGACTGAATGTATGAATGAACAAGAATTGGGTGCTATTTATGTGTCAAGCACTGAGATAAGTGGTGAAGATATAAAGCACATACTCTAACTAAGGGAGACAACACATAAAAGAAAGTTTATCTACAGGATGGATGGATAGTTCTTGAAATCCAAAGGGTACAATGACAGAGTGAATGGCAAGGTACAGATTTCAGAATTCATCAGCAAGCCCAATGACAGAGTAGGGGTGGAGACTATGGAGTGAATAGATGAGATGATAAGGCCTGGAGAACACTAGGGCAGAGTGGCAGATAGTAAGGCCTGATGGTTCTCCATCTTCCATTAGAATTATTGTTCCCTCTAGGTTTGGGTGACCCAGGCATCATGGGAGGGGAAAAGAAAGGGCAAGATGGAAGGCTGCCATCTTGCAGGTCTTCCTGAAGCTGATGGGAAGAAGGAAGGCCACAACTAAGGGAGACCTTCTTCTTTACCTTCTTATTCCAGGTCTCCTAGAACATTGAATACACCAGATATAGTAAATTTGCAGCCTTCTGGCTTCATACAGGCTGTGAAACTCCTGAGGACAGCCTGAATTGGATTGAAATTCAAATGAGAAATGTTTAATGAATGGTCATTTCACTCATATGGAAGAAAGAGAAGGAAGGGGAAAAAGATCTCATCATCAGATATATCTCCTTCATTAAGAGTTCTAGTTCACAATATTTATAGCCAATTCCTTAAAAATTTGTTCAAATGAATATGTTTAGTTGACAAGCCCAGGAATTCATACATTGGTTTAAAAAAATCTTCTCTTTCATGTGTTGCTGGTGGTGAAATTTATATTCAAAGGGGAATAAATGATTCTAATTGTTTTTATCACATATACAGTTTAAAAGAATGCTTTTAAGTAGTCTATAATGGTTTCTTAGCATTAAAATATTTTTCTAAATTTCCTTTTATAGAAACAGATTCTTTGGCTTGACTGGGGGACTAAGAGCATCAGGGATTATCTGTTATATCTTCTTATTCATTGCTATGAAGAAAAAATATCAAGAAAACAAGACCGGACTTTCTAATAATGGAGGAATAGATATGGATCAATCAAACCTTAAAGAGCCTTTAAAAAATAACTTGGTATCCTCCCCTCATGCAGATGGTGAAACCCACATTTAGCTTGAACAATTACTTCTCCATAACCAAAGCGCCTTTGCTTCCTTCTTTAATGAGATCCAGATACACCAAGAACCAAAATGTCAGCTAGTGGAAGACCCTCCATTCAGTTATCATGTTCTTTTTGAGGCAAATCTGAGGGGTATTATTAAACAGCTATTGTTTTTCACTAAGAATTCTTACCCTTTTTATTCTTTTTTATTGTTGTTGTTGCTCATTCAGCTGTATCTAACTCCATGTGAACCCATGGACATTTTTCCATGACATTTTCTTGGCAAAGATACTAGAGTGAGTTGCCGTTTCTTTTTCCAGTGTGTTCCCAATTTACAGATGATGAAACAGGAGTTAAGTGACATGTCCAGGGTCACACAGCAGTATGAGTCTGAGGTCAAACTTGAACTCAGATCTTCCCAACTCCAGGCCCAGGGGCTATCCACTTTACCACCTACCTGCCCTTTTTATTCTTACAGAGCACTAATTAAGCATCTGAAACTGATAATGAACAAAGTATAAGTGGAAAGAGAATAGCAGAAGATAACTTGCTATTTAGAAATAATGAAGATACATTGTGCATATTTCATGGATCATTGAAAGTAACATGTAAGATTAATAAGTACCAATTATTCCTATTAATTAGTCAAATGGAGAATTTTTTGGCACAATTCAAAGAAAAAATGAAAGGTGAATCTTCTGTAGTGGTTGACTCCTGCTGACCAAGAAATTACTGACATTCTCTTTTTCAACAAGTTTAATTCACATCTACCAATGTGTGGGATCAAGAACCTACAATAAGACTGTCTTCCCTTCCCTTGCATTGGGACAAAAACACACATAGATAGGTGACTGTGAGCATTGGAAAAGATGTGACAGTAGTAATAAACACCTACATTTTTTCCATCATGGTAGAAATGAGGGCAATAGTCTTTGCAACACCTTTCCAATGGTCTTCCTATTCCCAATAATGGGAACAGAAATTATTCACTTCCTAGAGTCCAGTCATCAAGACGAACTTAATTTTTAATGGGAAATAGTAAGATTTACTTGTCCCCATCTGCATCCCACACCTCCCATACTTGACACTAATGCCTATAATTTCACAATTAGAATATATGTAGCTTTATCATTCATTCACATACAAGTTGACATAAACTAATAATAGAATGTAAGTTTCTTGAGGGCAGGGATCATTTCATTTTTGCTTTCATACAGGGCACCTGACATGTAGTAGGCACTTAAATGCTTGTTGGTTGATTATTAAACACTGCCTAAAATCAGGTTTAATGGGAAGGTAAAGAAAACATCAGAACACTTGAAACCTAAACACCATCAAGGATGAAATTAAATATAGTAGGGAAATAGTAATAGAAAAAAGAAGAGGAAATCATTATGTAAGCCTTCAACTACTTCAAATTTTTGCTAAAAGCAAGCATTGTCTGAGAGGCTGTGTGGCATAGTGGATAGTATGTTGAACTTAGAGTAACATAGACCTGGGTATGAATCCTACCTCGATCATTTTATTATTGCTCTAACTAATGACAAGTCATTTATCTTTGCTAAGTTCCATTTTCCTCATTTGTAAAATGATAGGACTGGATCTCCAAGATATCTTCCAGATCTAAATCTGTTGTCTAATAAAGGCTGACATTAATAGAGCTCCTTAAGGTTTAAAAAGCAATCATGTATATCACATCTTCTGAGCTTCACAATAACCCCATAAGATATACACTTCACATATTCCCATTTTGCAGATTACAAAATTGAAATTCGAAATAGTCATAGTGACACACAAAGTTGCATAGCTAGTATCAGAGGAGGTATTCAAATCCAGGTCTTCCTGACTCCAGGTCTAACACTTGTGTTCCAAAAATCAGTTTAACAAATGCCACTTGAGATAGACATGGTTTGAAAGTAATTCATCTGAGAAAAATCTGGAGATTTTATTTAGCCAGTCAATAAGGATATATTAAGTACCTAAGTGCACACAACAATGCATACTAAATGATGAAAACAATGCAAACTAAAGCTATTCTGAGAGAAGAAGGCACTAGTAGCCCAAACCCTAGAAAAGGCTCCTTGTACAAACTTGAGGGACATAAAAGATGAGTCTCAGAGGAAACAGAAGAAACCAAGATTCAGAGGAGAGAAGACAGAGCATTCCAGGAAGGGCCAACACCAACTTATAGACAAATTCAAGGAACTACAAGTAGGTCAGTGTAAGTGGATCTTAGAATTCATGGAGAGAAATAAAATGTAAAAAGACTGAAAAATAGGAAGAGGACAGGTTATAAGGAACTTAAAATGGCAAATAGAGGACTTTATATTTGATGTTGGATGGAGCCACTGGGTTTTATTGAGCAAGGGAATGACACATACAACTTTGGAAAAATCACATTAGCAGTTCAGTAGAAAATGTATTAAAGTGAAGAGAGACTTGGGGCAGGGAAATCAGTTAGAAGGCCATGACAATCATCCAAGTGAGAGACAATGAGGATCTACATTAACCTAATAGTAGAGAAAAGGAGATATGTACAAGTGGCTAACTGTAAAGTTGGAAATTGGATTTGTTCTGTTTTGGCCCCAATCAAAAATGGCAAAAATAGTATCATTGTAAGAAAAAAAAATTCCTAACAAGCAAATGGAATGAGCTGAAACTGGAAAATAATTTAGAACTGTGCACAAAAAGTTACTAAACAGCGTACTCTTTGACCCAGCAGTATTATTACCAGGCCCACAGCTCAGAAAGATTAAAGAAAGAGGAAAGGGAAGTTATAAGTGCAAACATATTTATACCAATTCTTTTTTGTGATAGTAAAGAGTTGAAACTAAAAGAGAGTCCATCAGTTGAATAAGGGCTAACAAATTATGGTGTGAATGTAAAGGAGTATTACTTCCATTGTTCTATTATTCCATAAGAATTTGTGGAGGAGATGGTTTCAGAGAAACCTGGGAAAACTTGTATGAATTGATACAGTTCATTGAGCAGAACTACATTTGCATTTTATAAAATAACATTTTAAAGATGAATAACTGTGGAAAACAAATCTCTGATCAATGCAATAGTCAGCCATGATTCCAGAGGATTGTTGATGATTTATACCAACTACATCCTGAAAGAGAGGCAATGGACTAAATAGGCAAAATATAACACATTTTTGTATATGACCTATATGGAAATTTATTTTGCTTGATTATGCATATATTGCAAGAGTGGTTGTGGTTTTTTTTTTCTTCCAATGGGTAGCGGGGAAAGGGTGAAAAAATAAATCTTGTTAACTAAAAATAAAATTTAATTTTAGAAATGTGATGGGCCTTCTACAGAAGGTAATGAATTACCTCCACTGTAAGTCATCAAGAAGAAGCTGGCATCTACTTGTTGAACGTGGTAGAGTGGGTATTGGTTGGACTAGATTGATTCTGAGGTTTCTTCCAGCTCTCAAATTCTATGATTCTGTGATCTCTTCCCACAGTATTAATTATTGCCACAATACAGATGACTCCAAAAACTATATCCAAAGCCCACACCCATGAATTGCTAACTCCCTCTTAAGATATCTATAATCCCAAACCTGTCCTGAGCCTCAGAATATGGGTGGAGTGATAATTCACACTTCTCACATTGTAGGAGCCCTGATATCTTCTAGTAAAATTATCATGCTGCTCTCATTGAGCCTAGTCCTTTTATGTTTATTATATTGCTCTGTTGGGCTTTTTTGGTCTATAGACTCCAGGCCAGACTGGAGTAGGACATTGCTGCTGCTCCTGTTATGCTTGGCAAGTAGTTTCCACCAAGTATTGGCCCTCCTTGATTAGCCAACAATAGGTCCCAGGTCAAGCCCCACTTGGTCATTGTTTGGGCCCTGATTGGCTCAGAGTGAATGTAAATAGCAATTGTTTGTGTATGGAAGGTCTTTCCCTCCCAGATAGATTTTTTTTTTGACTAAGTGAAAGAGACCATTTTCTGCCTCATTTCTTACCTAGCCTTAATCACTGAATGGTCATTTCTTCAATAAAACTGAGACCTGTTAAAGGCCTTCGCTTGAAGTGGCCAAGGTCTCCCACTGCATCCAGGGCTACCTCCAGTAGTCATTGTATATCTTGCCACTGGACCCAGATGACTCTGGAGGAGAAAGTGAGGTTGGTGACTTTGCACAGCCCTCCCCCACTTAAATCCAATTCACTTGCGTGTCATGGCATCACCTCCCTGAAGTCATGGTCCTCTGAGAATGAAGGACAAACAACAGCTCCCTGCTACAGTCTTCTGAGCTTCCAGCCAAGACATCTGAGTCTGCTCTGTCGGTAGAAGATTGTGGCCAAAGTACTGAGAAAGAATACAAGTGTTCAAACAATTGCACAGTAGACTAGCATATAAATCTATAGCTCCCTAGACCTGCAGTCCTGCCATGCCTTAAATATTCTCCCTCCCCATCTCTACTTTCTGGCTTCCTCAAAGTCCCAACTTTTTACAGGAAGTTTTTACCAGTCTCACTTAATTCTAGTTCTCTCTCTGGCAATTATTTCCTATTTATCCTGTATATAGCTTGTGTGTGTGTGTGTGTGTGTGTGTGTGTGTGTGTGTGTGCATTTGTTATCTCCAATATTAATCTGTGAGTTTCTTGAGAGCTGGGACTGTCTTATGCCTCTTTTTGTATCTCCAAATCTTAGCCTAGTGTAGAGTAGGTACTTAATAAAAGTATATTGATTGAGAGAAAGTTTGATAAACTGATTATCATCAGGAGAACCTTTTACTGCTTGCTTAAGTGAAACTGATTAAACCACTTACTGAGTATATAGGAAGTTCCAGATCCACAGATGGGTCAGTAAGTGGTAATGAGGAAGTTACTTATCAGGTAAGACCTTGCAAAAAGTCAGTCCCTACCAGTATGGCTATCATTAGAACCTTATTAAGGCAGGGTGAGAGTTCTTTAGTCTTAGCCAACATACCCAGCTAACAAAAACCAGGATGAGTTCTCCCAGGTTAGGTCTTTTTTTTTCTAGTTCTCTGTGTAGGTGGAGACCAAAGTCTTGTTACAGCAAAATTCCTAATTTGGGGTTCCAACAGTCTTACACCCCCCCAAGAGCCTCTCTGGCTTATTTGGAAATAAATTTGAGCCAGAAAAAAATTTAGACTAATGAAACAAGGTTGTTATTTTCTTTATTATGCAAATCCTGGGTTCCT